TTGATCAATTAAAGTAATAGTATAAAGAAATAACAAATGAACTTGACAATTTATAACCCTGAAACACATTGAAGTATATATTAACGAGAAAGATAAATAAAGAAACTTAAACGCATAAATAGAATTAAAAAATTCATGTTACGTGAGTAGACTGATTGTGAGAGTAAAAGTAATTCTTTCTAATTTGCAAACACGTCAATAGTGGTGGGAATTTCGTGTTAAAGTCGTCATTACTTTTCCATGAAAGAATCTTACCATTGGGGTTTACCTGGATCTTATTTTTGTGAAACAGGTTCATAAATAATGATGGGCGTATTTAATTTAATATTCACGTCATGTGCTTCGTCTTGCATTGTTTGGTAGAACATCGACTCTTTTGGAATAACTTAAAAAGTATTTTGGGATAAACTGTAAAAAAATTCCAAGAAATAAAACATTTCGAAAAATGAATATCATGAATGTTTCAGTTATACAAAGTCATTTTGTTTTTCATTTATTGTTTTTAGTAATTCATTATTGATTTTAATTTCTAAAAATGAAATTTAATTTTATTTAGTATCTATTTACTAAGAAATGTAAAAAAATTCAAAATTTGTTGATAGTACAAACATTTCTTAAAGTTCTTCAACCATAAGTTTCGTCTCCTTCCTATGGACCTCTTTCCTCAGATCCGGACACCCTCGATTAAATCTTGCTGAGGAACTGCAACATCAACTCTGCAACGATTGTGAGTGTGAAAAAGACTGCACCTCGAAAGTACCACCAGAAATAAACCAACAGATCGTTCCCAACTAAGAACCAAAGCGATAAACACAGATAACAACAGATTGCTAACTTACAGGGGAGCATACAGGGGACTTCTCTGTAGTTATTATAGAGTAGATATTACACATGTTAGCTTTGAATCTTTATGTGACCTCATGGTGTATTATAAGAGTAGAAAAATATAATTGGAAGTAAAATATCATTATGAGTCATAAGCTAAAAGGACATAATAGAAGAATAGGATTCCTTTAATCTGTTAAGTCAGATTTAGTACTTTGACAAACTTCACAACATAATCAAAACACAACTTACATGTTACTATCATCAGTCATCAGTTTTGGATCCTTTTGTGTGAATTTAAGTGCTGAATCTTATCTCCCATCAAATAATGTCTCATAAAGAAAAAATACACCAATTGGAAAAGCATTCTAAAAGATATTATTTTTTGATTCAATGACTGAAACGAAAATGAATCAGATAGGGAACATTGCCTATGTTGTATCTTTGTCGATATTAAATTATTACAGAGAATATAAAGAATATTCGCCTAATTAACATTTTGCCAACGTTATCAAATGTTGTTAAGAAAGCAGTGAACAAGCAGTTCACTGCTTGTTCACACAGTTGCATATGTTGTGTCTAATAACTTCGAAAACGAGCAATCCGGTTTTCAAAACTCTTATATCGTCGGTGGCACAAGAACACCCCATATTACCTTACTTGTGGGATAATATCTTTCTTCTATGATACGGTGAAATTTGATAACGATATCTATCGGGGTACAGCTCTGTTCAGATTTAATGCGAATCGTCCGCTGTTAGCTCCGACACGACGCTGGTACTGGAAGAAGACGGAGACATCTTTTGTTTCTATTCAATTCGATTTCTGAGACTAAAGAAAGTTACCCTCTTCCTTAACCCAGGTAAAACCGTCCCAGTTTGAAGTGGGCCGAAGAATGGATCACCCTTTTTTAAATGTGTTAATTTTATTTTATTTGAAATCTTTTTTGATATTTTCAAGAACAACAAATACACGATTTTTTATATGTTGCTCTAATAAATGATTTTAGAGTATTTCTATAAATACAACGTCAGATAAAAATCTCAGTAATATAATTAATATAATATAAAACTTATAACTAAAGCTTTATGAAACTCTCCTTCAAATTTGGCTTCAAAGTTGGCCTTACAACATCTAGATCAGGCCGAAGGCGTATTCTTATTAATGCTCAACGAACGGGAATTATTGAATACGTCACCGCCAATCCTTTTACAACGTCCACAATTATTAAGGATTTAATTCGATTGAATACAATCGAGTGCTGGAGGATGTTTTGATACCATCAGTAAGAACCTTATATCCAGAAGGGATCATCATGATTGTCCAAGACAACTCACCCGTGCATTCGTCAAGAATTGTTCAACGATCATAATGAGGTTAGGCGAATACTCTGGCAAGCGCGGTCACCTGATCTTAACCCAATAGAAAATCTATGGGCTTTGGTGGGAAAACAGTTCAATAAATATGCCAACTTTCCAATTCGCAACGTGGATAATCTGCGCCGCAACATTATAGTTGTGTGGGATTTGTTTCACGGCAAGGATGTATGCGAAAGATTAGTAAATTTGATATACACCAGATTGCAATGTTGCATGGAGAATAATAGGTATTATACAAAATACTGATAATATTTGATGGTATCATGGACCTTATAAAATTCTCCCCAATTAGATTATTATAATATTTATTATATTTTATATGTATAATAATATATTATATTTTTTCTTATATAGGAGTATTATATTTTATTTACAACTATTGAGTTATCTATTCGTTATACAATTGATTTTTGACGGGTAATGACACGCATTACCCATGATTGACAAAGTGTTGAATAATGAAGCCATTATTCCACAGTTCTGACACGGCCTACTAATCAAAAAATAAAATATTAACAGAAATGACAGCTTTCTTATATTGAGGTTATGTCTGAAATGTCTGAAAGTATAGTATTCAACTTGCGTATAATGGATGTTACCCACTCAGATTACAACACTCGCTCGCTTTGCTTGCAACTTCTTCTTCGTGGGTAACAGCCACCATCATACGCTTGTTGAATAATATACTATTATTATATTGATTTTTGATTTTATTATATTAAAATGGTTTGCGGTATATTTCAATATATAGTTTATATATAACTTACTATCAATATATAATTTTCATTTCTTTTGAGGTTCGACTTATCGTTCCACCGTATTACCAAAGTAATACAGTAATTATTAGTAATTATTTTCATTTACTACAGGAATTGTATAAAGTAAATGGATTGCTTATACTTATTTATTTTCTTAATTTTTCTTTGTGATTCACAGTCATCTTGGTCATAAATCACATCACCCCGCTTACCTGTTCGGAACTTTTACAACACTACAGAGCAGGTAAAACCTGGATTGAATGCCTCGTGAACGTAGGTCGTTTCTAGTACAATTTTATGCCTCTACGAGCGGCTCTTTTCGCATTATATCTGAACAGAACTGTACAATAGATCCTTAGGGTCGCGGTGCAAGGTTGATTGGTCCGCCTACCCGATATGTATTCTATGTAATGTAATGTAATGATACGGACAAAACTCCGTGATCATATAAAATTTGTAGGAAATTTTCCACTCTATACAAAGGTATATAACTTTACTATATCATATGTTTATATAAACATTTTCCCACAAAAACCGCAAAAACTGCGTATAATTGCCTTATGTAAATGTTTACGGCTTAAAAACTTTCTTATATGATACGGGCAAAACTCCGTAGCCATATATAATCTATAGAAAATTTTCCGCTCTATGCAGTGATATATCAGTTTTGTCTGTGACATGATTGCACAAGCAATTTCTCCTCCAAAAACTGCGAAAACCGCATATAATTACCGTATGTAAATAGTTTCGGCGTCATAATTTTCTTATATGAAACGAACAAAACTCAATGTCCACATAGAATTTGTAGGAAATTTTCCGCTCTATACAATGGTAGATAATTCTATTAGATCGCATTGTTGCACAAACATTTCCTCAAAAAAACTGCAAAAACCGCGTATAATTGACTTATGTAAATGTTTACGGCTTCAAAGCTTTCTTAGATGATACGGATAAAACTCCGTGGCCATATAGAATCTATAGGAAAGTTTTTGCTCTATGCAGTGATATATCAGTTTTGTCTATGGCATGATTGCACAAGTAATTTCTTCTCCAAAACTGCGAAAATCGCATATAATTACCGTATGTAAATATTTTCGGCGTCATATTTTCTTATATGATACGATCAACACTCCATGCCCATATAGAATCTGTAGAAAATGTTCCGATCTATACAATGGTATATAACACTAGTAGATCGCATGGTTGCACAAACATTTCCTCCCAAAAACTCAAAAAACCGCGTATAATTGCCTTATGCAAATGTTTACGGCGTCAAAACTTTTTTATATGATACGGACAAAACTCCGTAGCTATATAGAATCTATAGAAAATTTTCCGCTCTATGCAGTGATATATCAGTTTTGTCTGTGACATGATTGCACAAGCAATTTTTCCTCCAAAAACTGCAAAAACCGCATATAATTACCGTATGTAAATGATTACAACAAACATTAACATCATGCTTGTGCAACCATGCGATCTACTACAGTAATATACCACTACGTAGAACAGAAAATTTCCTATAGATTTCCTACTGTTTTAGTTTTTTGTTCTCACCAAATAAAAACGTTGTATTCAGAAAGGTCAATCTATCGATTCTATGTTTAGGGTTTAGGGCCGATAGATATTGAACGGATAAAACCTGGATTTAGCAAGCTCAAAGTGTGTTCTTTTCAAATTGATAAAACTATTTTTTAATTGGGTTCCATAGCGGCTGCACTCGAGATTGAAGTTTGATATTTATGAGGTGTATTCAGTACACAGCACGTTTTCTACTTTTTTCCGCTGTTGATATCATGATATTGGACAAAACCCGATTGAAATTGAAGAAAAGATGAGGCATTCTAGTGGTGTAATAAATTATTCCCAATAAAATTCTTAATATATTAATAAACTTATAATATTATTACATATAAGATTTTATAAATGGGAATTTTAAAAACCTTTGCACCTTTAAAAGTTTATATTTTACACAACACTAGATAAGATTGAAGTATTATACCGTGTAATAACAAAATTTATAGTATATATAAAATTAAAACAATGAAATAGTTTTGTAGATAAGTTTTCAATTGATTCATGACCAACAAATCGGTTTAGTACAATAATCAAATAAAAATTATAACATAACAAAATTTAATAAAATAGTACGGAAAGTTTGTGATTTGAACATTCTGTATCGTTTCTTATCTTTCTATTAGAAGTTGCAAAAAAGATATGATTAAGTGTACTACGAAATTATGAAAAACAATTTATAGAAATCCCCAAAATAATTTTAAAATAGACACTTTTTCTGCATAGTTTAAAGATTGTATAAAAAATCTTGGATTAAAGTTTATCGCTATTTATTATCCCATCGTTATCAAATTTCAAGTGATAGATATGAAATTTGAATCAACAAAATCAACTTCATTCGGGTGTGACTCTTGAAAGAGTTTCAACGTGAAAACAAAGAGGTAGCTAATTTTTATTTTACCACATTTAATTAATTTAGTAATAAAAATTCGTTTATTTTTGAAATAAAGAACATCTTTTCATACATCAATCACACATTAAATTTTTTAAGATAAGTTTATTTAAGATTTTTTTCTTCTTTTCTAGCATGATGGATACTTCTTCATTAGGGAATTCAAAACAACTTCCCCAGTACGTAGCAGCTCTCTCAGGTACAAAATCATACTTAAAAAATTTACTTAAATGTAAAAAACAACTAAGTTAACGATCATTCTCTTTTTAGTTGATAATAAACTTGACCTTTAAGCAACTCTTAAGTGATGTTTCATAATTAAGTAATTTTTTACATTTAAATTAATGTTACTTAAAAGAGATTAGTTTTTTAAACAAAAAGAAACTTATTTTATCATTCTTTTACAGCATGTTTGGGATCAATAGCAGCTGGTACTGTTCTTGGTTGGACAGCAAACATCAATGAATTATTAAGAGATGGAAATTTAAATGGTATTTCTGTTGATGAGGGAGAATTTGGATGGATCGGCTCAATAGCAACATTAGGAGCAATGTTAATGTGTTTTTCAACTGGATTTTTTTGCAATATTATTGGAAGAAAATGGACAATGTTAGTTCTTGTGGTACCTTTTACTTTGGGTTGGTTATTAATTATATGTGCGGAAAATGTTGATATGATCTACGCGGGAAGATTTTTCACCGGTTTAGCCGGAGGTGCTTTTTGTATAGCTGCACCATTATACACAAGTGAAATATCAGAAAATTCTATTCGAGGACGTTTAGGAAGTTTTTTCCAATTACTTTTAACAGTTGGTATTCTCCTAGCTTACACTTTTCCGTTAATTAAATCTAATGATATTAGTAGTACCTTAATTCATACAATACTCTGCGCGATATTTCCATTGATTTTCGGAGTAGTTTTCTTCTTCCAACCGGAAACTCCCGTTCATTTATATAAAAAAGGAAAAATAGATGAAGCAGAGAAATCATTGAGACGTCTTAGAGGAAACGCGTATAATCCAAAACCGGAATTAGAACAAATTAAAAATGCTATAGAGGAAGAAGAAAGAATGAATAAGCCGTTTTTCGAATCAATGAAAACGCCCGCTGCTAAAAAAGCTTCGTTAATTTGCTTCTCTTTGATGTTTTTCCAACAAATGGGAGGTATTAATGCTGTGATCTTTTATACCGGAAAAATCTTTGGAGATGCCAAAATCGACTTACTTCCGCAACACGCTACATTAATCATTGGTGGCATTCAAGTTGTAGCCACTTTTATTTCTACATTATTCATCGATAAAGTAGGAAGAAAACTTTTATTGTTGATTTCTGGACTTTTTATGGGACTTTCTACTCTGCTTTTAGCCATATACTTCAGTTTAGAAAAATCCGATATGGATAGAGATATAATTACTGATATAAGTTTCTTGCCAGTTTTAGCTCTATCAATTTTTATAACCGTTTTTTCGTTGGGTTTTGGACCCATTCCCTGGTTAATATCATCCGAATTATTTCCAATTGAAATCAAAGCAATCGCAAGTTCGGCTGCCGGAACTTTTAATTGGCTTTTAGCATTCATTGTAACCAGATTTTACAATGATATTCAAAACGGTATTGGAACAGACATAACTTTTTATATTTTCTCTGGGCTATCATTCATTGGAGTCGTCTTCATTTTCTTCGTTGTGCCAGAAACAAAAGGAAAATCTTTCGATGAAATTCAAGAAATGTTAGGGGGACAGAGATAGAAACTTCAAACATAAAATTTAATCTTTAATATGTATTTGTGTTTGTAAATACTGTATTATAGTTCTTTTATTGTTATTCATACGAACATTTCGTAAATATATGAATTTATTTATTGTAAATAATATTTTTTTGCGTTTTATTTTAAAATATTAGAAAAACAGTAATTGACAAAAATAAGCACAAAATGATCAAGTGTTTGTTATTAATAATTTCATCAATCCAGATAACATATATCTTATCGTCCAATTATGTACAACATAAAATATTTCAAGTGCAGTTTAAGAAATTAATACAAAAATTATTGTGCCTTCTATTTTGAAAATAATCTATGTTTAATTCAATCATAAAATAATACTTCACAGAGAACATACCATCATCTCTACATTTAAATCAATTTAGTGAAATTATTGTTTGATAGATGGCAATGTTTGTTAATTGTTATATTTTGAAAGTGTTCCATTGTAGGAAATTCGATAAATGATATAATTCCAACTTAATCCAACCATCCAAAGACGTTGAAATGGATGGATGTTATTAAAAAATGTATCCTAATTCAAAAAATTAAACTGACCAAGAAAAATGTTGCGCACAAAAGTTGTTGATATTGACCCAAAAAAGCAAAATCTAAATCTAATCTCTTGTACCAATGAAAGCTTAGCTATCACCATTTTCTGAAAACAAAGCTAAAATCACAAAAACTGTCAAAATGGACGGTTTACATTAAAACATGTATCATTAGTCAAAAACTAAAACATACCAAGAAAAATATTGTGCACAAAAATGGATATAATGAATTAAGAAAGTATAATCCATAACGAGTACGAGGTTAGTCATTACCAGCTTTTTGGGAATAAAGCGATATCTCCATCAATGTTGAAATGGATGGATTACATTAAAAAAATCTATCATAATTCAAAAGCTGAAACTAATCAAGAAAGGCTAAAACTGGTCATATGGAACCAAAAAAAGAAAATTCATAACCAAATACAAGCTTAGCTATCATCATTTTCTAAGAGTAAAGTGAAAACCTCTAAAACTATCAACATGGATAATTTATATTAAAAAATGTATCATTTCAGTCAAAAACTGAAACCAATCGAGAAAAATGTTAAACACAAAAATGGTTTATAATGAACCAAGACAGCATAATAAAGTGAAATTTCCATAAAACTTAAAATGGATTGTTTTCATTACAAAAACTTGTCAATACTCAAGAGTTAACATCAATCAAAAAAATAAAGTGAATAAAAATTGTTGATAATAGGTTCGTTCCAACCGCACAAATTTGACTCGTCGTGTACGCGTACACGACTAGTACAGGACTTTTTTCTGCGCATGTTCGTCCGTGGACACGTTCGTGTACGCGTACATTTCGTCAACGCTGTTGGAACGGTTTTCAATTTCTATGTACGTTTTATATCCAACCCTGCCGATAGTTAGCGCTGCAACCACAATTTACCATTTCAAACGAAATCCATTTAATCATTTTTTTAACAATAATGAACTAAAGTAGCATTAATTACAAATGTAAGAAAAGCGTAATAACCCCATAATAACTCTTACTAGAAAAATGAAATAAAAATATGCATGTTTTTTCACTTTTTTGATTAAGTTGTCTATGAAACTTATCATAAAACATACATATAAAATAAAAGTTCTTAAAAATTTGTTAAACAAAACACCAGAAACATGTAAAAGAGTAGAGAATAATCCAAATCCAAATGTACAGGTGTCCAAATTTCGATGGGTTTGCAGGGTATCTCAGTTATTATGAAAGATAGAAAGTTGCGGCTTTCGCGAACCTGAACTACTAGTTTTGTGTAACTTACAATGGCGCAAACCAAATTTTCATAGCCCTCTTCGTTTTTGATGAGTGTTTGATATTTACGATTTTCAGACACCTCCTGTATCTCGGCTATCCGGAAACTTAGTAGAAAAGTAAAAACGGGTTCTACTAGATTTTTCACGTGGAATCCAATGGTACACGTAGAATTTTTCTAGTCATCACGGTTTTTGACTTTTTGAGACAACTCAAATACTGTATACTCAACTTCTAAAATACTTAACTCTTAATAACTCAAAAACCGTGACGACTAGAAAAATTCTACGTGCACCATTGGATTCTACGTGAAAAAATCTATTAGAACCCGTTTTTACGTTTCCGGATAGCCGAGATACAGGAGGTGTCTGAAAATCGTAAATTTGGAAACACTCCCTGTATATCAAAAACGAAGAGGGCTATGAAAATTTGGTTTGCGCCATTGTAAGTTTCACAAAAAAGTAGCTCAGGTTCGCGAAAGCCGCAACTTTCTATCTTTCATAATAACTGAGATACCCTACAAACCCATCGAAATTTGGACACCTGTACAGGGTCTGTCACGACGAGCTGAGTCTATATGTATATGGCAAACTACCTGCACTATTTTTGTGAAAATTTGCATATGGGTTTACCCGAAGTTCTCGTTTCAGCTCAAATATTTTCAGATTTCTACAACTTCCGGTTATACCGGAAATGGACCCTAACTTCGTTATTTTAACAACTTTTATTGAATTTTCGAGATCCCCGCCAAATTTTAATACAATTTGATATAAGTCATCATATGTCTTTCATGTCATTTTTCAATTATTTCAGTCTTTTCGAAAATTTTGGCAGATGCAACCCTTCACAATAAATATAATTTTTCGAAATTACGGTCGAGTCCGGCCAAATATTGTCAAAGTTTGCACAGAGACGACCCACAGCTTACATAATACTTGAAAAGCAACCCCAAAATGGGGTTGCCATTTAAAAAGATGAAATTTTCGACTTTTCGAGATAGGGAAATTCGGGGCAAATTTCTGACAACTCTGTATAATTTTTCAAAAAACTTTTAAAGGGTTATGTAACCTATGGGTCCTCTCTGTGCAAACCCTGAGAATATTTGGCCGGACTCCTGTAATTTCGAAAAATTACTTTCATTATGAAGGGTTGCATCTGCCATAATTTTCGAAAAAACTGAAATAATTCATAAATGGTGACTCTAGACATGTGATGACTTGTATCAAATTGTATTAAAATTTAGTGTGGATCTCAAAAATTCTATAAAAATTGGTGCATTCCATTTAAAATAACGAAGTTGGGTCCATTTCCGGTATAACCGGAAGTTGGAGAAAACTGAAAATATTTTAGCTGAAACGAGCACCTCGGATAAACGCTATATACAAATTTTCAGAGAAATAGTGCCAGTAGTTTGCCACATAGATATAGACTCAGCTCATCGTGACAGACACGCTTGATGGTAAAGATACCCATAAGAGATACAAACAGACCGGCTGCACAATTGGAAATGAGTTATGCGCTGTTATGCGCAAGCGCTAAAGAACGTGACAAACCGTACATCGTCGAAACCAGGTACGCATTTGACTTGTCGCGGACGCGTACATGAACGCGTCCGACGGTCGTTGGAACTCATGACAACTTATCGCCGACCAGTCCGCGGCACGTCCACGGGTCGGATGGAACAGCACTTTTCAACTACGCAGGCTGGTGACTGTCAATTGGCAGTCAAAAGTGCGGTTGGAACGAACCTAATGAATAAAAAATACATAACTAATTGCAACCTTGCTATTACCATATTCTAGGAATACAGCTTAAAAATATCTATAAAATATCCAAATGGTTGGTTCGTATTTAAAAATATATTTCTATAACAACTAAAATCAGTTGGAAAAAATGTTGTGCAGAAAAATGCAGTAAAATTATTATTTATAATGAACAAAAGTAGAAATGTACAGTCGATACTGCTTAATTGGAGGAATACAAACATTGAAGTGAGGAATACATCGGGACATAAGAACAATAAATAATTTTCTAAAATATTTTAATAAAATGAATGTAAGTATGCAACACACATAACAAACTACAAAAAAAAATTAAATTTTAAATTCAAGTAGGTATAATAATAAAAAATAAAGTATTAAAAAACAATTACTTATTTCTTTTAAATAGTATATTACAGTACAAGTGAGGAAACTGATTTTTCATTAACGCGTATGTCGGAAAGACATACAAGTTAGTGGAAAATATTAGTTTCCCACGTATGCTGTATAGCGTTTTGTTCAATCCTACTATTTAGAGAAAACCCGTTTTAAAATTCGATAATTCCTGAGTAATCTCACGTCGACATGTCGGCGATGACAGCAGCTTTTGACATTTTCATGCTCTTAATTGATGTACATATGTAAACAACCATTTGTATCAAATTGTTATTATTATGCATAAAATTAATAAGTTCATTAAAATAAACAATTTATACCACTGAAATACTTAATTAACTTTCCACGTGTGTTGTCCACCGTTTTTTAGTTAACATCCGTTACATTTAAACAAAGAGTTGTTCCTTTAAAGGTTTTATATTTAGCTAACAGTGGTTGAAAAAAATTGGAGTGAGCGAACAAATTTTCACTCACTCGTTTCTATGAAAGTCAGCAGAATGAATGCAAATAACAACTTTCAACACTCGTATCTAAGTTAGAAACTCACAATTTCGAAGGTAGGATTGGACAATAGTATATTGTGTCTCCATGGCAGAAAATAAGCATTATGCAGGCCGAGGCTATTAGATGATTAACTAATAGATAAGGGCTGTTAATGCATTTCTGCACGTGTGACACACAACTGTTTTTCGCCTCCATTAAACCAAACAAAATTGCAAAAATATAAAATAAAACTAATTTTATAATTTTGTCGCAGTTTTGATTTCAACTGACGTTTAATGAAAAATTATGAGAAACGTCAAAAATGTCCGCAAATGTCAATGAAGACTAACTAGATTGTGATGAAAAACTGAAATCTAGCTTTCAGTTATTTTTTTAGGGCTGATATGATTTACTTTCAGGTATGGGAGGCGAAAAAAGTTATTTAGTGGTGTCTGCTTTTTACGACTTTGCGTAGGACACTCAACATCGTCATCGCTTTCGTCATCAACTAGTTAAACGCTTCTATTTCATAGTTTCAACATTAACAATCACTGATCATCGTAACATGATAAAACTTCATTTGTATGAACAAAGCGAAAAAGCGACGAAAGCGATCAAAAATGTTTTGAACAAAGTGCATTTATAATGATCTAAAGAAGTATAATCCATAAACAGTTTCTGACATAGCTATGTATTTGAGGATTTAATAATTATGATATAGATATAGCTCAAAAAGGAAGGAAAGATGGAAATAAGCTTTTATATAGATTACCGCAAACTTTCAAAAAACCATAATTTACCAGAAACTAATGAACTATTGACTCTACATATTCTAACTAGCAAACAATAACATATTCTCTTTCATTAACACGATCGTCGCCGCGCCACCCATACCTGGGTGACAGGTATGCTTTCGTTGAGGCCCCGAATCACGCTGGGCGACGAACGTGTTAAGTTTTCCTTGTTCTATGTTTATAACAAAGGCACAATACATAAATAGTTCCAACGCTACATTCTCAATCAATCCGGCTTTCTCAAATCACCTATAACGCTTGAAAATAAGATGAATACTTCTCAATTCTCAGCAGGAGAAAAAGTGCAACTTCGAAATCGCGACATGGAAAAGTCGTCTGTTCAAATTCCAAAATCCTATTCTAAGATGATTTATGTTCAGAAAGAATGAGAGATTTCACCATTGTGGCGAAATAAGCACGTTATGTATATGATAGAAATGTAAAAGTTTCATTACTAGTGGTTGAACTGTTTTTCAAAATAGACTAATTCACTAGCCATAAAATTCTGACACTGAGATAACACTAACCACTGAAAATTTATAAAAGAAATATATAATTTATATTTTTCATGTTGTCTTATTAATTTTTGCAGTGTCGAAAATTATTAACAGACCATAACAAATTTAAATAATGTACTGTCATCATGTCATCTAAAACTCTGTGCTGACAACTTAAAAATTTTTTCCATTGATTGATAGTGTCATACATAACCATAAAATATTTTTTATGACAGCTAACTTTGGTCATTTTAAAAGAAACCGTTCAATATTTCATTTTTAACTTAAAGTATAAATTTGAATCGTTTAATTAAAGAAAGTAAACAAAGAATTAGAAGGTTTTAGATGTTACGGTCCTGTGTTGTCTTTATCGCACATGCGTTCTACATAAACAAGGAAGTTAATCTCTATAGCTAATCTCATACCAGATATTGCCAGATATACTACCAGACACCTAGTACAATAACACGACTTGTACTTAAATTTTACAACTATATCTATTAACAATTACCATATCAATATGATTACTGATAGAGCACATTTAGTAAGTCCAACAGATCCTATAAATGCAACACGTAATGATGGAAGTAGTGGATATGGGGTAAGCTCATATTTAATATATTTCCCATTCAACTAATTTTGATACACCATCGTTTTTCTTTATTTTAGACTATCGAGGAGATACCGCAAATCAATATTAAACCTACACGTCAGTATATAGCAACAATATCTGGTATGTTTATTCTATAAAGAAAATGAAATAAGTTCTAATATGTTGATAAGGATTTTGATAATAATTATTCTTGTGTAAATATAAATTCAATCAGGTTTTATGGTTAGGTTTAGATTTTCCAGTTACATTTCAAATTCTAATACAATGACATAGAAATATTTTTAACATTTCTAATGGCCTTGACATTCCCATTAAAAATTTTTATTAAAAATCATATTGAGGAGTAAAGTGACGAAATACAATTAGCACTTTTTTAAACTTAAATGTATATTTTGAGGTAATTTTTAATTAAAGATATTTCCAGAAGTTAAATCAACATGACAAAAATTTAGAAGAATAATAAGAAATGGTGTAATAATATTTTGATTTTTATACGTATTTGTTATTTGTAAGCTTTTATGATTTGTAATAACAAATTTGAACTATGTTAGTTGATTCTTCATTAAATCTAGAAGTGAGTAATGTCAGATGCAAAATTAATACTTACACATTAATCATCAACAATATCTCAAAATATTGATATAAATATTGAAAACCAGCCTGTAGCATGTATGTACAAGATGGTTCAAATTAAATGTTTTCGGGTTTAGATTTTGAGATATAACAATTTTCGTTTTTGTAAATGGAAACAACCACTGATTATTCACTTATTAAATTCATTATTTTTTTCTGATTACAAAAATATAGGGTTCGACATGTCTATTTCTTATTGTTTTAGAATAAATCTAAAAATAAACTTTTTTTATAAAATTTCTTAACGCCGCCGAAATCTAGTGTCCTTGAAGAAATGAAATTTACAGTTTCCTGTAAATTAAGGGGCGGTATTTAAATTACCGGGTATTATTTTTCTGGTATTTAAAAACAAATAATTATGTTTATTACACCAACTGTTAATACGGAAATATTTAATGGTTGCATTGTTTTGGATTGGAGAAATATGTTTTTTTTAATTTTTAGCTATAGTACCGTAATTTATAGGAAACTGTAAATTTAATTTCTTCGACTACACTAAAAAAAAGTTTATTTTTAGCTTTCTTTTTAGCGTCAAACCCTATATTTTTGTAATAAAAAAAAATAAAAAATAACGAATTTAATAAGCGATTAATCAGTGGTTGTTTCCATTTAAAAAAACGAAAATTGTGATAATATCTCAAAATGTAAAACCGAAACTTTTTTGACTACGTTATCAAATTCTCTGTAAAAAAGTGTCCATATAATGTCTTAGTTATAATACTCCACCTATAATAATAACCAAGATAATTGCACTTGCTGGTTTTACGATATTTTCAATTTTGGCCTCTAGGGGAAAAACAAAAGACGATAGCGCTTTGAGGTTTTCGACATTGGAATTTATTTAAAAAAAGAGATCGAACCACCCTGTACATTAAAAATTTTGATCACCTACTTAGTAATTTTTCAAACTCTTTAGCTTTCATTGCATTGTTTTTAGCTTTAATCAAGCAGTATTATATTATATCAAGAGTCAAACTGATACAACCCCAATAAACAGAGATCAGAGGTTTTGGGAATATCCCTAAATTTTACGCACTAGTATGGTAGCTAGCCAACAACAAATGAATTTTAAAATATAATAAGATATAACCGTACATCAGGTAGACGTTCACTATAAGCAAGTGAACTTTGAGTGCACAGAAAATACATACATTATATTAAAGATATTTTTAAAGGCTTATTCTCATGTTCTAATAATACATAATCAATAATTGATCTCTCTCCTCTTGGTTGTATTCTTGTGGATTTATGGAAAAAGACTTAATTAATAAAAATTCGATTGTTCTAAACTTTACTATTAATAGTTTCTTTTTATTTCCAGCAACAACGAGTGCTTTAGCCTCAGGAATAGTCCTAGGATGGACATCGCCAATAACAAAAGAATTAGAAAATGGACATTTTAATAACATACCAGTAAATGCCCATGAAATGGGTTGGATAGGTTCAATTGCCGTTTTAGGTGCATTACTATCAAGTTTAATAGCAGGAAAAATCTGTGATAAAATTGGACGAAAAACAACTTTATTGTTCCTAAGTATTCCCTTTGGAGTTGGTTGGGCGCTAATTCTTGCGTCTCAATCAATTGAAGTGTTGATTCTTGGAAGGTTTTTGACGGGTATAGCTGCTGGTGGTAGCAGTATTTCTTGTCCACTATATATAAATGAAATAGCCCAAAAAACGATTAGAGGTAAATTGGGTAGTTATTTTCAAATTATGGTTACTGTGGGTGTTCTGTATGCCAATGTTTTTGGTAAAATTCTATCAATAAATTATTACACGATGAGTTGTTCTATAATCCCAGCGATTTTCTTGTTAGTTTTCTTATTTCAACCAGAAACGCCAGTTTATTATATTAAATCAAATCAATATGATATGGCTGTTAATGCAATGCGGAAATTAAGAGGTGATCAATATGATCCTCATGCAGAATTAAGAGAAATAGAACTGAGCATTCCAACTACAACAATTTCTTTATATACTTATATTTTTGAAATGCGAAGATTTGCCGCTCTTTCAATTGCAATGCTCTTAATGGTTTTCCAACAACTTTCTGGAATAAACGCAGTTATTTTTTATACAAGCGACATTTTCCAATCCGCTCACGTTAATATTGACCCGCAAATTTCAGCAATTATCATAACAACAATTCAAGTTTTAGCAACATTTACCTCATCACTATTAATCGATAAAAAGGGCAGAAAACCCATGTTAATATATTCTTTAATCGCAATGGCAGCATCTTGCTTACTTTTAGGTGTATTCTTCACATTAAAAACTTTCAACCCTAAGATTTCTAATTCGATCGGATTTTTACCAATTTCATCACTAAGCGTTTACATAATCGCATTTTCTCTCGGTATGGGACCCATACCTTGGATTATTCCCGCCGAATTATTCCAAGCTGATATAAAAGGTGTTGCAACTTCAATCGCCGGCAGCTTAAATTGGGGTTTAGCCTTTTTAATAACCAAGTTTTTCTTGGACGTCAAGGATGTCGTAGGAGAAGATGTGTTGTTTTATTTCTTTGGCGTTATGTGTTTTACGGGGGTAGCTTTTGTATGTTTTAAATTGCCTGAAACCAAAGGAAAGACACCAGAAGAAATACAAAGAGAACTATAAAGTTTGTTTGAAAACTTTTATATTTTATAATAGTTTAAACTAAGTATTTGTTATTTGTATAACTTTATAAATTGTTTAAATAAAATATATTTTAAAGATTCTTATTTTATTTAAGTCTAGGATGCACAGCGTGAAAGACATACATTTATACGGCCTGTAATCAACAAAAACCGTGTTGATAAACTAACTTTATTATTCTAAATTTACATGCAAGTGTATATTTAACATATTTGTACTTTAATTTGCCACTAATAATATAGATAGTAACAAAATCTACTGTTATATAGTAAAATTATGCATATATCATTTTTGTGCTCGCCGCAAACATTATTTTTACACTAACAATATATTACAGCACTTTTTCGGTTTTTGTTCGAGGATCGCATATAACACGTTTTGATTTTGAAGTATCGGTGATGGCTTGATCGCTTGGAAACTTTAACTGCTGTCCTCTGCATGTGTGGTACAACTGATACCTCTGCTAAGCCTTTCAAGAACATCCTTCTGTAGTGAATTACAGCATTATAATAATAGTGATGTTGCTTCATAAATACTACATAATCATTATCAGCAGCAACATCAATTACTTTATAGAAAAGTGCCATAGACATCATATTTTATCATAACTATTCCTTCTGGAAAATAGTTTCCTTATTGGCAGCAAAAAAAATGGAATTTCTTTCAACACCGCCTTGTATGTAGCACCAAACCCAAAAATACATCAAGCACAATCAAGTCTATTTCACGCCTTGTTATATTTTTCTGTAGGCTATTAACATGTCTTCCTTCTAAGCTTCTGTATCTGTTTATCAGGTTCTCGACTATGACACTGGTTCTTCATCTGCAGTGTATCTCGATGGGCACTAGATTGACTGAGTCAATCATCTTCTTTGTAATCTATACGTCTACTGTGGCGTTCTTATTGCTTCTATTATCCTTACCTTTGTTGTTGCTGGAAGTGGCGACTGTCCTCTTACCACGAAGTATAGCTTATTTGCCGCTCTTTTCAAAATACTTAGCCTCTTGGTTAATTGCTTTCCGTTCAATTTACCGTTAAACGTTACTGCCAAGGATTTCTTTCTTCATCTCTATCCTGTTTAAGACGTCTAAGGAGTTTTTTTGTTAAAGCCTAGTATTTTCGTTTTATGTGTATTCAATGCAATCCTGCTTTGTTTCCAGTTCAGAGAATGAAGTGCTGCTTTATTTCTGGCTGCGAAGATTCCTTTTAGTTCAGCCTCTAACCCCGTATCGTCTGCAAATTAAAAGACTTCTGTTTTGGTTTTTGCCATCGCAGCTATCGTGTACAAATACATTATATAGTAGAGGGGAGAGCGGCGATGCTTGCGGTAGGCCTTCTTTCATTCTTGTTACCCTGAACACTTTATCTCCCATTTTCACCTGAAAGTACCTATTCTTCAGAAAAGAAGCCGTCACTTCCAGGTTGGCCTCCATCATTTTTGCCAGCAAACTATCTTGCGGTACAACAGCTAACACAAACCAAGCGGCTTGCATGTCTTAATATAACGGGTGCAATGAGATCTTGTCCGACGGTTGCTTCTGATGCCCACTTCACTTGTACACACAAAATGAGGCAGCTTTGAGTGCATTGTCACTGAAGACATGCTCTTCACTCAAGCTGATGCATAAACCTCAGAAGATATCTTGAAATACTCAGGATTCCATGGGTCCCTCTTAATTCAAATTAAAACGGATCTTATACCGACAAAATATAATTTTAACCAGCCATATAAGGTCATGTTGTCAAGAATGGACGAAGGGTGAGACAGTTGGATCTGGAGTAGGTATGGTGGTGGTAAGGGCATTAAGATGCCCTTAAGCTCGGATAAAACCATTTTTCAGGCTGAAGTTGTTGCCATAAACTTCTGCACCGTTTTGAACCTTGAGAAGGATAAACATCTTTACGGACAGTTGGGTCGTTCTAAAGGTAATTCTTTGATAACTTGAGAAAACTCGCCACGGACAATGAAGTTACTCTATGGCAGATTCCAGATCGCAAAGACATTATGAGTAATGAAAATGCGGACAAGTTGGCCAAAGAGGCAGTGAAGACACCTTAATTAGACCTCAACTTGGTTGTGGATTACAAAATAAGCCACGTAAAAAAGATAATTAACACATGGCAGGACTCAAAGGTAGCCTTGCGGCGAAAAGAACTATCAGGACACCAACAGGGGAAGAATATGAAAACTCCGTCGCAAAACAAAACCAAAGAGGTTTTATGCCTCAGCAAACGCTAAATACTATGAGTTAAGGTCGCTTTTAGGTTTCCTGACTGGCCACACATCCTTAAACTACCATTTCCTCAACATTGGACAAACTGAGGATTAAACTTGTTAAACTTTCTCTACTGATATAAAGGAACAAGACTTTGGAGCAATACTAAGGCTCATCAAGGAATCTGTCTTAAACCTTTAGAGGGGTTGCTCCCCTCAGTCCGGCAGCAGCAAAAGATATCACTATCTATAAATCTTGCCAGAAGGAGTCGCAAGTCTTCACATCTAATAGCATCGCTATCGTGTGAAGCCTTTTCTTCTGGGCAAGTTCCAACCTGCTAATGATATTCACTGACTGCTGTACAGTTCCTCTAAGTGTCCTAAACCCAAATTAATTCTTCGGGAGTAGTCGTTTCATTTGTACGTCTTCTTGCAGTCGCTTCAGCAGAATTCTTTCAAGTTTTGGGATTGTTAACACCATCGTCGTTTTGCACGGCTCTGGGAATAAGTTCTATTTTATTATGCCGTTAACTAACTTGGTGATTTGCAATCTAGCCTTTTTAGGAAGCATCTTGAGTTCCTTATTTGTGCTCCCGGATTTTCCTTCCAGATTTGTGGATGCTTGATTCTTAAGTAAGACATATAAGTACGATAACTGAGTCCTTTAGAAGATTCGCAAGCGATTTTTTCAAATCGATTACTCTAATTATAAATTAAATAATAAACATTGTTATATTTCAAGAACAGCCAGAGGATACTTGAAGAGAAGAGGACGAGGAGGTGGGAGAATGTCTTTCCATGAGGGATTAATTGAATTTTTATATTTTATAATAATAGAGTTTTTACAAAAAACAAAATATTTTATTCTTTCTGGACAACTAAAATCTGTACATAAATTATTTAACTAAATAAATCAAAAAAAAAATAATAAAATAACAAAAAATAACTACATAAAGGCACAGTTTAATTTTACCATCGAAAGTCAAAAATATATTTATTTTATTCTTTTGTACTAATCATCAAATTGCATTCAATTCCTTTTTACACCGAAATAACAAATTTTACACAAAACACTAAACAAATCTACAAACAAATAAATCACAATTCTATTATCTCAGAATAGTAAAATAAACGGTAACTTTTTCTAATTAGTTCGTTTTATTTTCTAATACTATTTGTATCTACGTTTGAGGTTTGATCAATGAGTGACTAAACGAATCACATTTAATGAGGCCAATACATTTTTGTACGATTGGGACGATTCGTTCTTCGAATCTAAACAGGCATACTACCTGGAGGGGGCGTCTCCGTTAAAGTAGAGTTTGATGGAGCCAACGTTGAATAAGATTTTTTAATTTTCTTGCAACAACACAAATCTTTCATTAAACCACCCAAACTGCTATCAGAATTTGATCTAAAAAGACCATTCGCGACTTCATCAAAGCGTTGTTTGCCAACAAACTCTTCTAATGGAGTCTTAGGGAATCCTTGTTTGTAATACAATTTAATAGTTTCATAAGCATCATTAATAACTGTAATGAACAAATTTAATATTACATAAATATAAAGAGATATAAATGAATATAAATACAATCGACTGTACCACCACAACATTTCTGATTTATTAGACATAATTGAGAAGGTCGCAAACATATCGTCACCGTTTATTAAAGAATATAAACATTCGGATGTAGATGAGAGTGATCTAAATTTCATATGGAATGGCCCCAAGATTAGCCAACCGCAAAATGCATAACCGGCGTAAATTAATAAAGCACATAATAAAAATCGAGCAACGGTTGGGGCTGCTTTTTGAAGGGTTAAAATCACCACGTTATAAGTTTTAAAGAAACCCAAATATCTTAAAACCCCAAACCAAACAAGCATATTACCAGTACCTAAAAATACACTACAAGCATTCCATTGATCAGTTGTAAATTCGCGTCTTTCAATGCGTTCCTTAACAGACGATCCAATTATAATCAAAACATCATTTACAATAATCATAATGTACCACATATTTAAAAATTTTCCACTATCATCAGAATTAAGTGGTTTATTATAATTTAATATAAAAAATTGATTTGTGATTCGTTTTAATTGTTGTGCGCGCCAAATCGCTCGACTACACAACACAAATGATATTACACAAATTATAATAACTAAATAATTTAATAAACTACGAATAGCCGCGTCTAATTGGTTATTTGTAAAGTAATGCGTGTCTCCTTTACACATTAAACGTAGCGGTTCCGCCACTAAAGATAAAACCATTTGCCCATCATGATCTTCATTTAAAAATTCAATTTTAATATCAAATTGGTAACAACTCGGTGGCGTTATTGGACCGGCCGATTTAAAACTAACCGTTTTTATAGAAAAAGTTAACTCAGCTCGAACTAAAGCGGAAAAATTAAAATGTCCCTCGAGATATTGTCTGGAATCAAACAATTCTCCAGGAATTTCTTTCGTCATGTTTAAACAAGTCTCTATAATTTCCGAATCAAACACAAATGATTCGTTAAATCCGTAAATAATACCTTTTTTGTATTGATATAAACATAACCTCATCGGAGCCATCGAATTGTCTTCGTTTACGTACGAATAAGGTCCAATCGCTTGATTTAAATTTGCGTAACCTTCAAATGCAAAGTTTAAAGTATCGTAGAACTCATCTTTTTGATAAACAGCCATCGGTCCTGCAGCTGGGGGATACGAATCGATTTCTCTGCTCGGATCCCATCCTTTTAAAAATAAATGTGAGAACGTAATCGTGTTGTCCCATGTGTAATTGACGTGGTTATATCGACTGTAGGCAAACAAACATAATTGCATCGTCACCAAGAATATTTTTATTAATTGTACGACGAATTTGTAAGGAAACCTTCTTCTTGCATGCCACTTTTCAATTGGGTTCATAAAAAAAAATTGTAACTTTCGTCGCATTCTATCCTCGGTGATGCTTGATAACATTTCATCGGGGTTATTTTCATGATCTTGAATAATCGCATGCGATTCTTCCGTTTCTGAATTTGAAGACATTTCGAGTGCACTTGGTGATAACGAGTGTCTTTTAAACTGACAACAAAGACCTTGAAAGTTGCAGTATTTAGTACACAATAGAAAACATCCTTGAAGTCTGTTTTGTGACGCAGGGACGTATTCCATTAAAATTTCTAAGTATTCACAGTATAAACTAAACGTATAAACTAAAAAGGAGGATTAATATAAAAATTATAATTATTGCGGATTTAAAATTTTTACAAATACGATATTTGAAGTGGTTTGTATTAAATTTTGTTTTGTTATCTATTTATGATTCAGATTATTTTTGTGGTAACATATGGCGATAAGATGAATTACATGCTATTTTAATATGGTATCGTCATTAAAAACCTATTCATATAGATTAGTTGGTTTTTTTTAAACCAAAGTTTTTTGATTTCCCTTGAGTGTAGGTATGCATTGGCATACGCTCAACTTTTTCACGCTTTTATATGACACTGATGGGCTTTAAAATATGACCAGGGATTTTAAAATATGTCTGAAACTTTCTTTTTTGAAAGTTTAATTGATTAAATACTTTCTGTCCAAGACGTCATGTGTAGTGTATACCAGTATACCGGTTTTTCTAGTTTATTTTATGTACAAAATATTTTATATTAGAAATCTTTCACTAATAATCAATAAACCGAAACGAAAATACCTTGGCAAAGTTTAAGTTATGGTTAGTATCGGTATGCAAAGTTTTCTTGATATTTGCAAGTATAGTTCATTGTTTTTCTATAATACCTGTCAAATTATTGTAAAGTTGGCAAAATTAACAGGGAGTTTTGTTAGATGACGTTTTGAAATAAATATGTCACACTGACGTTTGAGCTTTCGTTATTCAAAAAGAAAAGGTGCATAAAAATGTTGTGGATTGTTTATTTGCCATTTATTTACCTAGAAAAGGTATTTTGTTCTATTTAATTACTTTGTAGCTCGTTTTTACAACAAATATGTACTTCGTTAAAATCGTATTTATCTAAAAATGTATTAGTATTTTAACCTCAACTATTTAGTTACTAAAAATGTTACTAAAAATCAGGAAAACAACATAAATTTTATAAGGGTCCTAGGTAATACCAACAGAAACCCTAAAAAATGTACATTGACAAGTATTATAGAAAAAAAACTAACTATATCTATACAGGTGTCTCACGTAACTGATTCGTTAGAATTTTTTTAGGTTCCAGTATTCGTACAGTTTTGAAATTTTGGTAGTATGGGTTGTTCAGTCGGAACTTTCGATCTAAAATATTTTCAAGATGGTTGCCACTTCCGGTCTATCGGAAGTAGACCATAACTTCGTCATTTCAAAGGGAATGCTATAGTTTTTATTGCACCTTTTAATTGTACGTAAAATAGTATATTATTATATGAGCATATAATGAGGGCTATTATTCACGAAGGTTAAGTTTCAAAGAAAACTTCAAGGTATAATTAATGTTTGTAAACAAAACTAACCTTACCTAACATTCCTTCACGCTATAATTGACATTACAAAAGAAAACTTCATGGTATAATTAATGTTTGTAAACAAAACTAACCTTACCTAACATTCCTTCACGCTATAATTGACATTACAAAAGAAAACTTCACGCTATAATTGCCATTACTAATTGCCAAAGAAAACTTCATGGTATAATTAATATTTGTAAACAAAACTAACCTTACCTAACATTCAGCGTCTGAAGACACAGGGCTAAACCCGAAACTTAAAAATATACAACTTAGCGCTGAATAACAATTAAAACTAGAACTAACACTTGCACTAGAACTATACTCTGTTTTTAAACCAGGAGGAGTAAACGCGAAAGTCAGATTTACACTGGAAAAAATCACCAGAAAATATCACTAGATATTTTGGCGGTAAATTTAAATTAATAATTATTATTTATTTATTTACTTATTATTGTATTTATTTTCGTTTGTTATCGTCAACACTATACATACAAATTAACATTGAAGTTATGAGTGTATTTATTTCAAAATATAATAAAAAAGGGTTTAAGAACACAAAATATACAATAATGACACGAAACTGTCGAATTATCAATTACCTAACCTTCAAATTCAAAATTGCCTGTGTGTGAACCTTCCTCGCATTCAACCAATCACGTGCAAGGTCAATCTGGTGACAAATTTAAAATACTCCTCCTGGTTTAAAAACAGAGTATAACTGTAATTAACTTCATAACAATTTGTCAAAATTAAATGTCAGTTTTATAAAACGTCGTTTTCTTTACGAAAATTAATTAATTTATGCTTAAATCATACGAAAAAAAGAATTTGTTTAGGTTTTTTTAATGTCAAACATTTAGAAACTCTTAAAAAATTGAATTAAATTGACGTTTTTTAAACTTTTAACGTTTGAAATAATTATTATTAGTCTGGTCAAGATGGCTACCCGTGAATAATGATTATTATTCACCGCTATTATTCACTCCGTGAAAAATGACTACCATTTTGTTTTAGAAAACTCATTCATAAGGTATATATTATAAGGTAGTCGTGGACAAAAATATGTTGACTTTCATAAAAGTTATTGGTACCTAGCGTTTTTCTTTTTCGAGTTATTTTGATTTTAAGGTTTTTTTGGAAAATTTCACCATGCTCTTTAAAACCCTATATCCCTGCCAACGTTCATTCAAAAAAGCTCTAAATTGGCACGATTACTCTTCAGATGCTCTCAAATGGATTGTCATATATTCTATCAGAGTATCTTACGTGTAAAGTTCAAAAACTCTTATTGCGGTATTATTTATTTAACTTGCAGACCATTCATTTGAAAAAAAAAACTTATGGGATAATTTTTGTCTTAATTAAGGAGTCAATACTCAAAATTATCGAATATTATCATCATCATCATTGGCATGACAACCCTTGGAAAGTTTTAAGGTAATTTTCCACATGCAAGGATTACTGGCGCCAGTTTAGTTCCATGTGGATATAGCAAAAATCCATTGGCGCCTGTAATCATAACGCCAGTAAAGTTGACAGAACGTCTACTTTTTGATGCCAATAGTACAATACTATTGGTAAAAAAGACGAGCAACTGTAAAAACATGTTCACCCATCAAAATTGCAAAAATGTAATAAACCGTCCAAAACATGGACATCACAACAAATAATACAGTTTTTAAAAACATATGAAGAATACCCCTGTTTATGGAATCATAAAATTCCAGCAGATAAGGACCGAGCTGCAAAAAATCAAGCCTTAAGAAAGATAGTTGACATTATGTCGAAAACAGTTCCCAATTTTGACGAAAACTTGACAAAGGCAAAAATACGAAGTACAGTGGAACCTCGGTATACGACTGCTTCAGAATACGTCCAATTCGGAATACATCCCCTTTTAACGAAACGAATTTTGCTCGGTATGAGACATTTATTTGGTATACGACAAAAAATTTTGGTGAGAATTTTGCGTCATTTTTAAATACATACATATTTATTACCTTCTTAATAACATCACATTTTTATAAGACAATTAATGAATTTAACAGCGTATCAGAAGCATTATTTGCGAGAAAGCTAAAAAGATTCATGCTGATCTCGTGAAAAGCGAGGTGTTTAAAGCCAGCCATTTTTGGTTTGTGAATTTCAAAAAAAGAAGTGGTATTCATAATGTTGTACGACATGGGGAAGGAGCTAATGGCGATAAAATTGCCGCTAATGAATTTATTAAACATTTTGGAGAATTTGTGGAAAGTGAGCGGTTTAGTCCCCAGCAAGTTTACAATTGTAACGAAACTGGTCTGTTTTGGAAGAAAATGCCAAATAGGACCTATATCACACAAGAACAGAAGATATTATCAGGGTACAAGTCAATGAAAGAGATTAACTTTATTGTTTTACGGCAATGCTAGTGGGGATTGTAAAATGAAGCCTTTACTGATCTACCATTCTGAAAACCCGAGTGCATTTAAAAAACATAAAGTCCAGAAGTCTCAGCTGCCAGTGATCTGGAGATCAAATAGCAAAGCTTGGGTAACGAGACAATGTTTCACTGAATGGTTTAACGTTGTGTTTGGACCAAGTGTAAAACGTTATTTCGAAGAAAACAATCTACCTTTGAAAGCTCTTCTACTAATGAATAATGCACATGCTCATCCACCAAGTTTGAAGGATTGTGTTTTGTCTGAGTTCGATTTCATTGCTATAAAGTTTCTCCCACCTAATTAAACCTCTCATTCAGCCTATGGAGCTTCATGTCATAAGTAATTTCAAAAAAGTTTATACTAAAGCTTTCTTCCAGAAGTGCTTTGAAGTAACCTGCTAAAGTTGGTCCCATGCGGTTTTCCCTCTCTGGCAGAGTTCTGTAATCTGTGTTCTGACATTCTCCCGACATGGTCTCCCAATTCTCTACCAAACGTCCATCTAACTCGCGTAGCTAGCAAATGCTCAAAGGAATATCAAAAGAATATTGCACAATTAATAACTTCCAATCCACAACTACACCCAAACGGTCTGATCTACCAGGTTCAAATTTAGACACCCTGCAATACGGATTGCTAGGACTTTACATATTGAGAACATTAACATAAAGCGGAGTTAGGGCTGACATGAAACCAGGCCATACCTGAACATATCTGGCAAGCAAGTTAATTTTGACATACCCCACCGCATCTGGAAAACCACTAACAGGATTCGAATAAGGCTTATGCAGAGACTCACTCCATAAATGGAATTAAGCGTGGGGCGCCATGTATGATTACAGTGTGGAGAACCAGACCGTTGAACATATTGTCCAAGACTGCGAAATATGGACATACTCTAACTATATGTACGTGTGTCTGCTAAAAGAAATCTGCTAACAATTGAATAAGGGTTGGTGACAAATTTTATCGCCTACATAATTTGTTCTGTATCTATTATAAAATGTTTTTTTTTATATGGCCTCATGGCTTGGATTGACGCTGATTATAAATTTATATTAATTGGCGTTAAGACTTAAGAAGCTCCAATGAACAGAATTAGCTCAGTAACTTATTTTAGGACTCAAAAATATTTTGAGAATTTACAATTTTTAAATTTTTGTATAAACATAAATGTATTGCACAATAAGCAAAATTATATATTCTAAATAAAACACGTTTAAATACAATAAGAGTTTTTATGATAGCAAATTAAAACGTTAAACATATTTTTCTTAAAACATTGAGCCTCACTCTCTTTATCAACTAAACCACAGATATGAAGACAAATACTTGCAAATACCTTGTTACTGGAATAATAGGTCTGTTTTGGTTCAAGAGTTGTGTAGATCAGAACTCTTTGGAACTACAGCCCTAATATGAAGCATAATTCGAACTCTAAAACCCAAGCAGGAGAGGATAAACATAATAACCTCCGTTTAATGAAATGTTAACTTGAAAGTTAAAATGTCGATTGTTACATATCGAAATATAATTAAACATTTTTTTATATTAATGTTATTTTACATAATGAATAGCTTATTTTCATTATAATTTGTAAAATGGAATGTTTTTATGATAATTGTAAAGTTACATAACCTCATTCCCAATATGTCAAAATGACAGCTAAAATCAATTAAACGATATAGATTAAAGTTTTTTTGAGAAAAATAATTAAATTTATTTGTATTCTAATTCATATTAAGATACAGTATCCGACAAAAACATTAAAAATTGATTATGACTTGAATTTATTCGATTCCTTTGTAGAGTAATTCGTACCGAGTACGTCCCTGTCCATGTTATTTTTCACAACCCAAATTTACGTCAGTTTCTAACCTAAGTAGGAGAGTGATGTCTTTGCAAAAACCAATCACCATATGCCTGAAATAAATTCAAAAACAAATCCAAGCCATGCCATCGATCGAAATAAAACACCTACTTAATTACAACAGGTAAATCGTTGCATAAAATCGTTCGAAAAACCATGAAATTTCCTCATAACCTATTTTCAGATTATCAGATTCTACTGGAGATTTATTTACTTTACTCATTTACTCGCCCTTGGGAAGTGTTTTATTTCTCGTTCGACTTTCTCTCCTTCTAGTGGCGTACCTTTTAAGTATAATTCTACCCAAAGTTGCATATGTCCAACATTTTTTGCACCGATTATTGACCATTGTTTTTGGAATTGTTGTGCAAGTTGACAATCCTGATAAATGTGAAGATGTTGAAACTTACATTAGCAATAAAGTATCGTCTTTCGATGCTACAGTAATTAACTTTTTAACTAATTCGATCAGTGTAAGTAATTCTTTTAAATTTATATAAAAAATCAAAAATTATTTAATTTTAGCCTGGATTAAAATTTAATCCATTAATATCGTCCATACTCGGATTTAAAGATTTTGGATCAACAACAAACATTGAAGATTTAAGAAAAAGCATAGAAAAAGTATTAGGCGGAAGTAAAATTCCCCTTTTATTTCAACCTGAGTCTTCAGCTACAAACGGCAAAGGACTTTTAAAGTTTAATATTTCTCCTTTCATTCTGTACAGCAAAGTTCAGCCAATAACTATAACCGTTCATCGACCTGTTTTAAATGCAGCAATTTCAACAATTTCATCTGATTATTGGAGGGATGTTTTTTGGTACATGTTTGTACCATGCACCGTTTATAAAATAAAATTTTTGCCTGCTGTTGAGAAGAAAAGCGTTTCAGATGGGGAATTTTGTGATAGAATTAGACAAAACATTGGAAATGATTTAAATGTTGAGTTATTCTTAAAATTATGTGGATGAGTTAAAAAAATTTTTTATTTTTAGATTGAATTAACTAATTTTGTTGCAAATGAATTAAAAGAGTTTAAAAAACGTCATCACATTGAACTACAAAGAGCAAATTTAGTACAAAGACCATTTTCAACACCAACAGTTAATCCAGAATTACATCAAATGACACTTCAAGTTCGTGAAGTTTTACCTCTTGTTCCATATAATGTTGTTTATAAAGATTTGGGTATTAATTAAAATATATAGAATCATATACAGTAAAATCTCGATATAAAGGACAAATTATCTGTTTAATTCATCAGTATATCTAAATATAAATGTTAGCATTCAGTTCTTGATATAAATATAAAGCTAGGTAGATTGAACACAACAATGTAGAATGTATTTTGTGTTACAAATTTGCTACAATGGACACTCCCTTCCCCATATTAGTCCATTATATCAAGGTTTTACTGTATTTATAAAATAATTTAATTTATTTCATTTTTTTATAGCAAAAACAAGAAGTGTAGATATAACCATAACAAATATTTTAGAAGGTATAGTTGAGTACACACCAGAACAACCAAAACAATCTACATCAATTACAAGTAATAATAAGATGACTGAACCCAGCTCGTCCACAAGCGGAAATAGTAGTTGTTCGAGTTTATCACGCACTCCACTAAATACTGCCGCGGCCGTTTTTGCAAAATCGCCTCAAGAACGAACGCTATCGTTCCAGGAGCGAAAGAAATTATTAATTGAGAATGCCAGAAGAAAGTACATCGAAAAGCACGGACTTAATATCGTCGGTTCATAACCGACACAATTAATTATTAATATTCTATTGCGTAGGTTTAGTGCCAAAAAAGGAATATAAAAAAGAATTCACAAAAAAAAAATCTATCGAAATCTTTACAAAAAATTCATCTTTCAACACTCGTATTTTCGTCTTTTATGTTTAGTATCTTTTTTTTGTCTTTGGGGAAATTTTTTTATATTGATTTTATTTTATTGTGATGCGAAATTATTTTCATTTTGTTGTTTTTTTTTTCTTTAGTCGCATGACATATTTATGCTGTTCCTTATAGAAAATGTTATTGCAATAAATGAAAAAGAATTTAAAAGAATTTTTTTTTTGAAACTTCAGTGAAATTCCTCTAGCTCTACCTTTGTATGTCGAATTTTCCAAAGAATAAAATATTCGAAACCATTCTGTGAGGCAACTTCCGGTAAAGTTCCCGTGTACTTCCTGTTCTAAGCAAAAATCAATGTGCTTAACGATTATGAAAAAAGTACCGCTAATTAAGATGGTAGAAAATGGGGAAAAAATGAGAAAAACGAGGTGATTTTGATATAAATAATAAACAAAACTTAAAACTTGTATTCATAATGATATCGACAAAGTTATGCTTAAATGGGTTAATACCAGTTAGTTCGTTGTGTCTTGGCTGTCATTAATCCTACATGGTCTTCAGAAAATAATGTTTAGAAGAATCTGGTCTTCTATTAGCAGTGTCTAGTCATCTACAGGAAGTGTTTAGTCTTCTATTGGAAGTATCTAAGTTTTTCCAGCAATATCTAATGTATCAAAGATATGGAAAATTACCGTATAGAAGAATATTGTGATAGCGGCAGCATGTGGAACAAAAATTACCACGGCTTCCGCAGACAAAGATCGACGATAACTGCAGGGGCAAGCATTATCGAATTTATAGAACCGTTTGATAAAAACTTGAAGATAAAAGCAGTGTTTTGTGACCTCAGTTACAGTTGATCACAAGATACTGTTGGGAAAGTTAACCTACTATGGCAAAGAGGCATTGCTAATAAAGTAATGGAATTCTGTCTAACAGATCGTACATAATATACTAAGTGAAACAATGAAAGATCCGTTGAAAGCGTGGTACATGTGGGTGTTCCACAGGGTTCAGTGCTTGGTCCTTTGCTATACATTATATACACCAACAATTTACCAATAAACGTACAGGCAGCAATTACACTACAATATGGTGATGACACATCATTTTTAAATTACAATATTACAGAAGAAGGTCTACCTAGAAAAACTGTAATCACAATGGAAGACGTTTAATAGCAATAAAGTCCTGCTAAATAGGGAGAAAACGCAGATTATGAGGTTCTGTACGCGACTTGAAAGGGAAAGAGAAACCGTAAAATTTCTGGGAATTGTATTAGATAAATTAAGTTCAATAATATACAGCGTACCAGGGTATTAAATACAGCGACGTATGAAGCGGCTCGCCAAGCTTATTTTTCACTGTTTCACAGTGTTGTAACATACGGAATCCTTCTGTGGGGAAAAGAGAAGCAGTAAGTGCTCTTTACAAATTAAATTCAAAGGAAAGCTGTAGGAATATATTCAAAAGTAATATACTTACCATCCCACCAGAATATATATTCGCGTGTATGATACGCGAGAGAAAGGATCCAATGTTTATTATTATGAAACTAGAAACGCAGAAGTCTTTCGACCACCTAAACATCGTTTACGGAAAATTCAACATGGTATCAACTATATTATTGGAGTTCACCTGTATAATAAATTACCAAATAATATCAGACTAATGACACAAAAAAAAACATTCAAAAAAAGGTTAAATGTGTTACTGAATGGTGGGTTTTATTTGGTAGAATATTTGGACGCTAAATTGTACCAAATTGTACCTATTATATGTATAGAATGAGATGACGAGCGGTTTCTTGTACGAATTAATTAGGCAATAAAGGATTTACTTATTATTATTGCAAATAGAAGAAACCTTCTGCTTACAGTATTTAGTCTTTTGTCAGCACTACCTGGTCTACTGTAAAAAAATCTAACCTTCAATTGGCGCTAACTAGACTTTTTTCAGTAGTATTCAATTTTATGTCAACAGTATCTAGTCGTCTCCATACAGTAAGTAATTGCCACAAACAGTATCTAATCTTGCATCAGCAGCATTTAGTCTCACTAGCAGTGCTCCATTTTTTGCAAGTAGATCTAATCTTCTGCTAGCAGTATTTAGTCCTCCAATAGTAGCAGCTAGTCTTTTGTCAACAGTGTTTAGTCCTTTCCAAGCAGATTTAACCTTTAGCAAGCAGTGTCTTCAGAGACGCACAGCTAAACCCGAATGTTTCTAGTGCTACTGTTAGTTAGCTTTACATTATTATTCAGATTTAGATTTTTGTATACTTTTATTGAACTAAAACTAGACCTAGAATTAAAGTTTCGGGTTTAGCCATGCTCCTAACCCAAAATGTTTTTAGTTCTAGTTTTAGTTAAAAAACACCTACTATTTTCAGTATTATTATCTACATTTAATAATTCATTAATAAAATAGTTAACATTTTAATTACTATAATAAACTTATTCAACATCCATTTCTTCCATTGATTCTGAACATGAATTTGGAACAACTGTGTTTAATAATGAACCAGTTAAACTACCTGTTGATGATGTAATGGTATCTGCATCATCTTCTTCTTGATTTTGAGACTCTTCTTCAGTTAATAAATTTGGCATATTTTCACCATTATTTTGTACAATATTTCCAGCGCATTGCTTTTCAAAACCGTGAACATCTAATGTTATAGAAGAGGTACAATCATTAATTTTATAAATTCCTACTAAGTAATCACCCAGTTCGAACATGTTTGATCTTAAAGAGATTATTATAAATTGCGCATTCTTCGTACGTTCCTAAAAACATTTTTTTTAAATTTATATAATCTTTATGTAATTCATATAATTTAAATACCTTAATATAATGAGCAACGATTGAAACGTTCTTAAAATCTAAAGCCGCATCAATTTCATCCATAACATAAAAAGGTGATGGTTTGTAATAATGCAACGCAAAAACTAACGCGAGAGATGTTAAAGTTTTTTCACCTCCTGATAAATTTGTGATGGATTTCCAAGGTTTTTTTGGTGGTCGTACGCTTAAAAAAATTTTATTTCAATTATTCTGGTTTATAAATGATTATTTAAACTATTTTAATTTGCTTACTTTAATTTAACACCTTCTGAAAAAGGATCATAAGAATCAATTACTTCTAAATCTGCATCACCACCCAACGTAATCGTTTGATACATTTCTCTTAATTTAAGCCTAATAATTCGCAACCCCGTTAAAAATTCATTTTTCCTCCGAGTTTTTAACCCTTCAAAAGCGGTAGTAATTTTGTTTCTTTCCTCCGTCACTGCTTTTAAATCTTCCATTTTAGAATTGTACTCTGATTGACTCCTTTTATAATCTTCAATAGCAGCAAAATTAGGTTGTTGTTTTTCCAAAGCTTTCTTACAGGAATTAATCTCGTGTTTTAGATTTTGAACATTTTTCTCACCCAATTCTTCCGTAGTGTATGTTTTTAACTCTTCTGTGGGTTGATTTGGAATTATGTGACATTTTAAATTTTTTAACTAAAAAAATTATATTATTAAGGTTTAACAACAAACAAATTAATAATTAAATAATAATAATTTCAATAAATACCACTGATTTATAAGTAGAAATCTGTCCTTCTAAATGATCTACTTCCTTATTGACATTTTTTACTTTATGGTCTATTTCTATCTTTGAACCTTTTAGTTTATTTTCTTTTTGTGTTAAAGTAGTTGTATCTTTTTTTAAACCTAAAATAGTTTTGAGATGATTTAGAAAATAGTAATAACTCTTCTAGTAATAATAACTCTTAAAAAAAATTACTGAAACAATCTTCTATACAAAAGTTCTGGAGAAATATGTTAAGGTGAAGGGGTTGGAGGTAAACGTTGAGAAGACAAAGATCGTGAAGTTCTGCAAAGGGGGGAGAAGTAGGAGAGAGAAATGGAGGTGGCAGGGAAAAGAGAAAGAGAGAGAGAGGTAGTGAAAGAGTATACCTACTTGGGGTATGAATTGCGAGGGAGACTCCAGGGTATGTAGCGAGGGAGGAGGTTAAGGTGTATGCTGGGAGAAGAGCAATGAAGTACGAGGAAAGGATAGAAGGAAGACCGCAATGCAGGATCCTGAGAGAGTTCTGGAGGGAAATTAAGGAGAGGAGGCTGATATATGGGCAGGAAGATAGGGAAGGATATTATAGGAGAGTGGAATATTCAGTAACTGGGATCGACGACAGAAAAATGGAGAGAGGTGAAATGTGGAGAGAACTGAGGGATAGGGACAGCGACATACAAAGGCAGGAAAGGTCACAGATACAGGAAGGGAGATATAATGTAAGGTATGTGGAGATAGTGACAGAGGAACTGCCAAAGTATTTGTTGATGGAGCGGAATTAATGGAGCCAGATTCCACCGTGCCAATGAGGAGAGAGGAAACAGGTACTGGGCAGACGATGTGGAGAGGTGGTGGAGGGTGTGTGGAGAGGATTGGGAAACGCTGGAACACATGCTGATAGGGTGCAGTGAGCTGAGGCATGAGGCGATGGACAGGAAGCAAATTTTGGGAGAGGGGGGTGATTGGGGCTCGGAGCCAAGGTCGTGGAGATGGAGGAGGTGGGTAGAGGGCTTGGGTGTGTACATGTATTGTAGAATATTGTAGATTACAAACAATAAAACGCTTATTATTATCACAAAAGTGTCGTAAACATTTTTATAGATTTGACTACACCACAACTTTGCGTTAAAAATGAGCCAACTAATTTACATAGCTAGAATAGATGGTACAATTAAGATATTATGCCATCGATCAGTTATTTACATTAGTTAAAAAAAAACAACAAAAACAATCTACCCAAAAATCTATTAAGGTAATATTATTTTAATTAATTCTATACTATACCTTCTAAATTTTCTTCTTTTTCAAGTAATTCTTGATTGAGCCCTTCTAAATGTTTAGTCATCTTGGTAGCATCAACTTCAATAACTTCCCGTTCAGATTTCATTTCAATTAATCGCTTTTGACTATTGGCAATATCGTTCTCTAAAGTTTGAAGTTTTTCATCGCATCTTTTTAAATCTCTATAAAAACGTTAAATTAACTTAAAATTTTAAATAGTTATTTAAAAATTAACCTTGGTGCGGTTGATATAACAACTTTATCTTTCGTAATTTGGTTTTGGACCAAATTTATAGTTTTCATCAGATCCTTTATTTTCTTTTCAACTGTTTGTACTCTACCGGTCGTCTTTTCTTTAATTTCTTTTGATATTGCATCAACTTTTACTTGTAGTTTGCCCGCATTACGTTCGGCCTCTTCATATTCCACTTTAGCAGCTTCAACTTTTTTTGTTAATCGTTTTACTTCATTCGCATCGAGATTAATATCTTTCATTTTTCGATTTTGTTCGTTTAATTGCTTTAAAATAACCGGTTCTTGCGATTTTAATGCCTAAAATAGTTATTTTAAAATAAAAAATATATATAGATTATATTTATTTACATCTAATTCAATTGTGTGTTTATTTAAATTTAATTTCATTTCTGTAACTTTCGGTTTTAATTCTCTAATTGTTTGAGTTAAATCGGTTAAGCGAACTCTGTTGGAATTAAATTCCTCTTCAATTTTTTGTAGATTTTTAGTCATTCGCTCAATTTCTTCTGGATTAATGTCCATTGCAGTTACAGATTGTCCCATACGACCTCGAGACACCTTTTTACCCCCACCACTCATTGTACCGGAAGTTTCGATCAATTCACCCATTAAAGTTACGACGCGGAATCTTCTTGCTCCATAAGCAATTCGTGACGCTTGATCTAAATTATCTGCCACTAAAGTATCACGTAACGCAAAATAAAATGCCGTTTTTACACGATCATCTTGTACTTTTATTAAATCATATAAACGATGAACATTTTCTGGTCTAAAAAATGTTTAATGAATGTAGGCGTGAAAAAATTAATTTTATTATATTTACGTATTAATAGGAGTGTTTGCTGCATGTCTTAAATGTTCTTGTTTATCTAAAGCGATAAATGAAGCTCTTCCAATATCATGTTTTTTAAGAAATTCAATACACCATTCTGCTGTATCTACTGAATCAGTTACAATGTTATCAAGAGGCCCACAAGCTGTTGAAATTGCAACATCATATTTTTGATCAATTGCTCCTAAATCGCCCTAAAGAAAAAAAACAAAATATATCAATAATTTAAAATTAAAAAAACATTTTTTATTACCAATCTTCCATATATTCCGGGACATTTTCCTTCCCTTTTCTGTTGCATTAAACTATCCAAAACACGTCCCCTCGACCGAGACGACTGCATAGCAGACTTACTACTTTCCAAACTAGCCATCTTTTCGCGTCTGCTAGATGTTAATTCATGTTGTCGAGCAGTAAGATTTTCCGACTCTCTCATTGCGGTATTAAGACGTTTTTCATCGTCAGGAATCTCACGTTTTAAACTTTCAACATTCCGTTTTCTTTCGATTACAGTTTGCTTTATGTTTTCATAGGTAGTTTTTAACGAGTTTAATTTTTCTTGTTCGGTATCTGCAGCGCTGGTGAAAATGTTCAGTTCAGATTCAGCGATGGTAAACTAAATAATAATAATTGGTGATATTCATGTTGCATGTTCATCAATACAAAGAATATATGGGAATATACTTCCAAAATTATTATAATATTTAATGAGTGGTTATAAATCCCATATGTTCTAAATAATAATACAAAAAATTAAATATTTTTTTTATATTGAAGGTGATGATCTATTCCAGGGGATCCCAAAGTGCAAAGAGAGTTGCCACAAGATGCTCCAGCGACTATATATAGATGTAATACTATATAGAGAATAAAACAAAAACATTGAAGCTAATATATCCAAGGTTATTAACCAGGGTTTGGAAGAGATCCCAGAAATAACTACATACGAAAATAATTACTGCAAATTTAGATCAATACCAACCGCCAGAGCAAGTTGTATTCTGATCAGGGTATGCCACAAACGATCACCTTCAAATTCTAAAAAGTCTGACAGTAAAATCGATTGAATGCTGAAGATACTAACAATTTCAGCATAGAAAAAGATCGTTAAGGTGACACCATTTCGCCAAAATTATTTACAATTTGCTCCAGTATATGTACAAACAGATGAATGGGACACCTCAGGCATTGTTACAAAGACTGAACACTCAATGTGTACTCCCTGTTTTGATATACTGTGCAGAGACCCTAACATGGACGAAGAAAACAGTGAACGACATTAGAATTGCACAAAAATCAATAGAAAGATCAATGTTGGGGCAATCTCTGAGAAGTAAAGTACCGATTGCCAAAGTATGAGACAGAACAAAAGTCATAGATACCATAGAGAGAATTATTACTTTGAAGTGGAATTGATCGGGGCGCATTGCGTGGCTAAACGATGATCAATGGACCAAGAAAATTAAGGAATGGACACCAAGACAAGATGTTTTTAGGAGCAGAGGCTGTCCTCGAACCAGATAGGATGCCACGTTTCGACAGATTTGAATGCAATAATATTTGAAGAAAGTTATTATTGTGGCAATCATCTACTTTGCTCCTCAATTGTACTAAATTATTTTGCAAACCGCCACGTTTCTCTTGGAGATCTTTAGTTGAATCTTTAAGACTTGCAAGAATTTCTTGTTTTTCTGCATCAAGTTGGGCTTTATTTGTAAGTAAACATTGAAGCTAATATATCCAAGGTTATTAACCAGGGTTCAGAAGACATCTCAGAAATAACTACATACGAAAATAATTAGTGCCAATTTAGATCAATACCAACTGTCAGAGCAAGCTGGGTTCTGATTAGGGTATGCCACAAACAAAAACCTTCAAATCCTAAAAAGTTATACAATAAACCATTAGTCTTGGTGTTCGTCAACTACAAAAAGGCATTCAATACCAACATCCAGCAGGAAATGTTGAAATCCTTAGTTGTGATTATTGATACATTACAACGATCAAACACATATATGAGAACGCTACAGCTTGTGTTAGAGAGGATGAAGATATTAACAACTTCAGCATAGAAAAAGGTGTTCATCAAGGTGACACCATTTCGCCAAAATTATTTAACAATTTGCTCCAGTAAATGTACAAACACATAGAACAGGACACCTTAGGCATTGTTACAACAACTGAACACTCAATATGTACTCCCTGCTTTGATATACCATGCAGAGACCCTAAGGACGAAGAAGGATTGTTTCTTAATGGACGAAGAAAACAGTGAACAACATTAGAATCGCACGAAAAGTAATGGAAAGATAAATGTTGGGGCTATCTCTGAGAGGCAAAGTACCGTCATAAAGTCATAAAATAACGGGGTTAGAAACGCTTGTTTGAAGAAATCTATTATTATCATAATAGATTTCTTATTAGATATTAATGTTTGAAGGATTGTGACAAATTTAATAAGGAAGTTTGTTTTTAAATATTTACATTTGATTTGGCGTCATCTACTTTGCTCCTCAATTGCACTAAATTATCTTGCAAAGCGTCACGTTTCTCTTGGAGATCTTTAGTTGAATCTTTAAGACTTGCAAGAATTTCTTGTTTTTCCTCATCAAGTTGGGCTTTATTTGTAAGTAGTTCTTGTTCGCGCACTTGTAATTCTTTAATTGACTAAAATAACGAAATATTTTAATAATAAAAATTCTTTTAAAATAATAAATAAATTTCACTCACAGTTTCAGCTTTTTCTGGCAAACTAACCAGTTCGACTCGTTTCTTTTGTTCCGTTTCCAGCATTTTCTTCCATTTTTTCCTGTTTTTATTGGTTTCTTCCATTTGCGTTTGAATTTCGAAATCTTTAATGCTTAGTTTCTCTATAACTTGTTTGCACTTGTCTGTGGCAACTTCTAAGGTAGTGTAATCTCTAATAAAAAAAGTAAACAGATGAAATATTAAAAAAAGTTAAAAAGAATATTACTTCATCGCTTGGTTATAAGATTTTTTCATTGTAATATGTTCGTCTTCTAAGTCTTTAACTTCATTAACAATTTTTTGAAGTTCAGCTTCAACCAATTCTTTTTCAGTGTTCTTTTCTACAAGCTCCATTTCAGAATTATGTCTAAAAAGAACAACACATTTAAAATCCTGCAAAAATTAATTAATTAAAATACTTAATACATTTCAATTTGAATGATGGCGTTTTTACAAGAAGTAATGCTATTTTCTAGTTTTAAATATTCTACAGCTTCCTCCATTGGAGCTTGTAATCTATTTAATTCAGTTTCTACCATTTTACACCTATTCAATTTGTCATTTCTTTTATCAGATAAATCACGGTGCTTTTCGGATAATTTCTCTAAAGCTTCCTACACAATAAATTTAAAATTAAAATAATTAAATGATTTCCAGTTAGAATGAAGTACCTTATAACGACCAGTTCCTATTATATCCTCTAAATATTCCAACATTCCAGTTTCATTCTCACTTTCAGCTTTAGGTTTCATTAATGAAATTTGCTCAACTTCACCCTAACACAAAGTACTTAGTCAATGTAAAACATAAAAATTTATTAAGTTTAATTTATTACTTGCAAAATAAGAAATCGATTGTTATCCAAATCTATTCCATATTTCCGTAACAATAAGGCAACTTCTTTAAATTGAACCCTTCGACCATTAACTTCATAATAAGAAGTATTGTCTTTGTTCACAGTTCTTGATACAATAAATTCACTATCTGGTATTATATCGTAATCATCACCTTCCTGTTTAATAAAATTTTTCTTAACCAACTTAAATGATCGAAAACCAAAAATAACTTACTTTATCCGTAATTTGAGCAAAATGAACTGTTACAGAGCAAGATTGGACGTTCCTATATGAATCAGAATTATGAATGAGTCCAGAAAGTTTTTTAGATCTGATTTTTGTTGCTCTATATCCAAATACAAACAGCATAGAATCGATTACATTGCTTTTTCCACTTCCATTTGGTCCCATAACTGCGTTGAATCTCTTTTAATTCAAATAAAATTAGTATAAATAAGAATGAAGTAATAAAAATTAAAAAATTAACCTTGTGGAATGGTCCAACATGGACCACACCAGCGTAACTTTTAAACCAATTATTAGTAATTTTTGTGATGATTAATCTAGGTCCTTTATCCTCAGTAGTTAAGGCTGGACGTGGAGGTGGTGGGATGTATATATCTCCAATTCTACAACCACCCTCTTCATCAGAAAAGTGTAATTCTTCATCAGATTCGTCTCCTTGTTGTTGTATTGACATATTATAAGGATCTTTTTCTTTACTTGACGGCATTTTTAATCATACTAAAATCAAAACGACTTAATTTATATAAATGGACAAAATAATTAAAAGAGCTTCGTTTTTTTTGAGGTTATGTTTTATAATTTTTTTGAATTTGTTACTATTTAAACGTAAATAATGCAATTGATTTTGTATTAATAAGCGAAATATACTTACGACGTTCGAAAAGACTCTATTTTTTCTTAAAAATTAGTTTATTGTTTATTTTAATTTCTAGATTAGGTTAAAAACTTTCAAATCAAAAGCCGTTATTTTGACAACGCCGAATTAGTTTTGAAAGTGGCCACGGAAGCGTTAATGTAGGAAATTAATGCTTGTAAGATAAGTTGCCTATAATTGTATATTTATTTTTTAAAACTTAATCAAGAATTTTTTTAAACTGCTTAACTTCGCTTAATTTTTTCAACGATGCTGAATAAACAGAGGAAAATATATGATGTTATTAATTTATTATAAAAACATTATTAAAATAAAAATAAAGTTTAATTTAACAATACAATCCATTTCCATGATTATCTTCCCACTGCTTCTTAACATACTCATTTAATTTTTGAGATAAACCGAGTTGCTTTAGTTCATCGTCAAAAGTTTTTTTATCACCAACTCCAGCTAAGAAACCATTTAATTTAGCAGCAGCATACGATGTTTGTAATAACTGTGGTGTTAAATTAATAGACTGACAAAGAACTGCATGTTTTTGCAACCTATATTTTTGGTGGTAACTAAAAAAAATCAAATGAATTATTGGACTTATTTATCGGTTAAAAAACTGACTCTTCAGCAGGATAGAACGCCCCAGCGGGTGCTATTTCTGTTGTAATTTTTCCTTTATGATTTTTCATTTCCTCTTTAAGAGATTGCTCAGCTATTTTCCGTTGTTCCTCGTCATGATACAATATTAAAGACATATACTAAAATAATAAAATTGATGCAAAATTCGTGTATTAATTCCGGTTTTTTTTATTACTTGTCTTTTAATCACTGTTGTTACTCCATATTCGTGATTTTCCCAAAACAATTTTAATAAATTTTCATAGGTTATGGTTTTTGGGTCAAAATCGATTTGGATTACTTCGGTGTGATCACCTCTTCAATAAAAATAAGAATTTAAAGTAAATTAATAAAATAAACTCCTTTTTCTTACAAGTTTCTATAAGTTGGGTTTGGAAATTTTCCTCCTGAGTATCCCACGACGGTTCTTATAACACCTTTTGTGCCACCAAATAAAGCGTCGTTAGACCAAAAACATCCCATTCCAAAAGTAGCCTTTTGGACGGGTACTTTTACTTCGTGGAGAACTTGTCCCATTGTACTAATAGAAAAAGAAATAAAATTTGCCGATTTATGTTTAACTTAAATGATTTACAATTTTGATTGAGGAAAATATTTTATCGGTTTGAATAAATAAGGCAATGAAATATTACCGCTATTTGATATTGAGTTTATCTTGATTGTTAATACCTTGAACGTTTTGTTTAGATATTTTTTGATTAAAGCAGTAATGTAAAACTAGGTTTTACTTTACCTACCTGATATTGAAATAATTAATAAGATAATATCCCATAACAGGAATCACAAGAATAGATATTAATTTTCCTAACATTTTAAATCACTTAAACACAGTTCTCATTGAATCCGCGCAAAATATAACACTAAAGCTGGAATTATGAATTTAATGATTCATCTTTGGTAATTTATTAAAGTGTATTTGTTATACCTGAAATTTGTCACGTATCTTTTATGTTTATACTCTAATCCTACAACGTTAAAATCCTCAGTGTTACACAAGATTTCATACTGTTCAGACAAAAAAATTTCAAACAAGTTATCACACACCATAAAAAAAAATTCAAAATTGAGTTTTTAAATTTGAAAACGTTATATTATTTAATATTGATTATAAATTTATAAAAAAATGTAAAACACAAAAGAAAGTATCTATGTAGGTCAAATCAATTCATTCCTATAACCTAACATATGGAGATAAAAGCCTTTATAAATATAAAATAAAATAACTTAATCTTAACGAAATAGCTTTGTTTACTTACATCCCTATTACAACTGAATTCTTCAACAGTTTAATTGTAACTGGGACAAAAAATCGCCACAAAGCCTTGCGCAATAAAAAAGAAATCAGCGGGATATCCCTTTTTATCAAGAATTACACAATATAAATTGATATACTTATTTAAATAAATCTTACATTCTAATGCGGCTTATTATTAATAAAAAACGCTTTACCTGAAAGGAATTTTTTGGAATGTTTGGTGAAACAGATTATGAATGAACCCAAACATCTTGAAATTACAACCGTTATTTCGTAATCTATACTTACAACGTATTTTTAAACATTCAACGTCATTTTTTATTTATAAACACATTCTAATATTGTAACAGTTTAATAGTTAAATCGTTACCATTTAAATATTATAAAATAAAGTCTCGAATGCCTATTTTTAATATCCGTCCTGAATGACCCCGTGAAAGATCTTGTATTTTAATTCCATATCAGCATATAATATTTATTTTGTCATCTTATGAATTAACATTTTGAAATGGATTTATAAGAAGCGGTAAAATTAATTGGGAGTATATTCATGACCTTGAACTGTTTGAATTCATAAACGTTGATAAAATACCCGTTTTAAAACAAAGAGGCGCTCAGGGATTAAATATAAAACTCATTTTAAATTAAAAGTTTCACATAAACTCAAATCATTAGATCTCAGAGAAAATGTACATTTTATATGATGTTATTTCCATGCATGAAAGAGCTTTAAATTAATGATACAAGCTAGCTGCGTCTATCAAGCCAGGAGGCATAATGTAGATTTTATGGGGATTTTAGCGAATTTGTATAAATTTAAACTAGAAGTCTTAATAAACTATCGAGACTGCATTGCACATCTACAATGCAGTCTCGTTTTGGCTTCATAGGAATATACCAAATTGCAGTGATGACGTAGAGTTTATATGGAATTATCTCTGTGCAGTTTTGATGAATGGGGCCAGTTTAGTGGTTAAATTAAGCTTGATTGAACATCTATCACACCATGTTGCATATTAGAGATTTAATACAGACTTGATACAGCATTAATAAGTACTGTATGGAGAATTAAAGCAATCTTGAACGAGAAATTGGCCTTTGTAGAGACTTGACTTGACAAAACATAAAAAAGAATTAACGCTACATGACTATCAGCAGTAAACAGTTGTTATTTCACGACGAAAAAGTAATGGAATCAAAATAAATTACTCCCAAGGATATTCTTCGCCGCATTTTAGCAGCGCTCTTATCTTTCAATTGTGACGAAGGTGCATGGCACAACCTAGATGTTTCTGGTTTTACCTCTACTTTAAATAAAGTTTTATACTGTACTTATATTGCTATTAATATCACATATATTATATTGATTTCTAACAAGGGATCTTTTTTATTTAAATTTAATTCCACGATAATATTAAAATACATTTGAATTAGTTCAAGCTAATTTATTGGTCTCGTATTTTCTAAAGACTACATCAAGATCACAAAAATTGTAATGATTCATAAATATCAACTTTTAAAGAGCATTAAAACGTAATTATATAAACTTTCAATTTACAAAAACTAATATTCTTTCTTTTTTTTAATATACTATGATCATTTTTAATTGACTAGATATAAATAAGTATTGCGTAGATGTGTTATTTGAAAATATTGTACTTACTTTTAATAAGATCAATCAAATTTTATAAGACATTCAATAAAATCGAGTATAACTGTTTAAGAAAGAATCTGTTAATACAAAAATGTTCAAAAAGAATCAAACTTAACAACAAGATTAATTTAACGATTTTCATTGGAACATAAACGTTTTATATTCTTATCATTACTTTTAAAAATAAAGCAAAATGCTCTTTATTTTTTTTCATTATCAATAGATATTGCGTCTGTTATACCTATTGCAATGGATCTAATAATATATGATATTTAGACACCAATTCAAATAATTATATTCCTTAATTTGAGCATATATTTATTAATCTAAATATCTATATTAACTCAAAATTAATATCTCATTTAGAATTTATAAAGGGCATTTTGAAACATAAAATATTATAAAACATGTTAATTTGTCTTGAATATAACTAATTATATATCCTAAATAATTTTTTACTTTATTAAAAATGGGTTTAATCCTACAAATGTAGACTGATTGTCAAAATTTTCTATTTTTTCAAATATTTAACTAGACACTAAAACTATTATTGTTGAATCTTTTAATTATGTCTGATTGGAATAAATAATGATTGATAAATAAATAATAAAGCATAAAATGGAAATGATTAGAGATTAATAATTATCAAGTAATAAAAGACCTGAGTAATAAATCCATAGCCTATCACACTTAAAGACATTACGCACACCTACCACTGATGTATACAAAGGTATAAAATATTTGGCCCCTAATAAATATCATTCAACATGCTACTAATTAAATAATTTTCAATGTTTTTTAAATAAAAATATTACTCCCTTTTTTAATTTAACAATTCAAATGAATAAAAATTTAAGAAATCCATAAACTTTTTGTTTTAAAAATCAAATTAATTAATTAAAATAAGATATAAATATTGACAGTGCTTAGATCTTATTAATACTGCCTGAAATTGGGCAAGAAATAAATTCAATCAACAAAACAAAACAATATAAAACTTATTTAAGTTGGTTTGGGGTAAGTTTTCGATTCCGTCGGTGTATCTTCTGTGTCGCTATCATCTTGAGGCTCTTGAGATTCTGGCAGACGAATAAATGGAAGATGTTCGTTTCCACTCCACATTGAATAAAAATTTTGATGCATTCTTAAAGCATCCTAAAACAGAATCACCATAAAAATTTAATACAAATAATTTATTTTCAACTTACACCACCCGCATATCCTTCAGAACCTCGCTCAGACGAACTCGTAGATCTACTATGAATGGAAAGACACGAAGACGAATCTGTTGAAGAACTACTTTTACGCGAAGTTAATGGAAAACCTTGTGGGAAAATATCGAAATGATCTGCACCTTGAATACCACTTGTACTTGGTACATCAATTGATTGCCAATTTCCTCTGGACATAAAAATTTAATATAATTATAATTAAAAAAATACAAGAAAATAATAAAATAAATAAATGCTACTATAATCTACCCTAAGGATAGCAAGAACAAATAAATATCAAACAAGAATAGGTTATAAAAGTTTGGAACCACTAAAAATAGATAATTTACTATATGCTGACGACATAGTGCTGATAGCAGAGAACGTTGATTGAAAGTGTACAAACTTGGTGGCAGTCCCAATATTAACATATGACAGTGAATCCCATCCCAGAGGAGCTTATACTGACTCCAAACATTTTCGTTGCTAACGGTAAATCACCATATGCAATAGACAACCTAAGCCTTGACGTCACAGAGATGGGCGGAGCTTGTACTGACTCCAAACATTTTCTGTGTTGCTAATGGTAAATCACCATATGCAATTTTCCATTAGTGTTAAAATAAAATAAACTAAGTGATGACATTTGAAATGACATTTTTTGGCGGTTTATCTTAGCAACGAAATTGTTTGAAGTCGGTATAAGCTCCGACTATCTCTGTAACGTCAGACTTAGGCAATCTATTGAAATGAAATTTTTATGGAAAATAGTGGAGAGAACGAAGTGGGATAGGATAACGAATGAGTAAATAAGACTGGGAGTAGATCAAGAGGAGATAATCAGCAAAATAAAGAGAAAACAACTAAACTGGTACGCCCACATAATTAGAATGAACAATATATATATTGTATTGGTATTTGAAGCAAAGAATAAGGAAAAGAAGAAGGGAAGACCAAGGAAGAGCTGGGAGGAAAGAATAACAGAAGTTGGGAAGAAGAGACTCTAGCAGATATAAAGGAATTACCCAGCAACTGGAGGGAGTGGAAGAAGTGGTTGGAGGAATAGGAAAAGATTTATCCGACGCCATCAGGCATAAGGATCAGGAGAAGAAGCTACTTTAACATTTGCAGACTTCAATATAAAATTTTTATTGCACCTTTGCATATGACTTCCATACATTCTGCGATGAATTCGTTCCTCATGTGAATCTGACCAAACCATCGATGGATATCCTGGATAAGCTGGTCCTGAATAAGGACTATGAGGAATCACACATCGTGTTGGTCTGCATGATAACAATTGTATTGCTTCAGCTAAACCTTCTCCACTTGTTATTGTACCTGGTTGTGGGGAAGCATCTGAAAAAAAAAAATCAAATCAACAAAACTTACAAAAAAAGAATTTTATTTTAACCTGGTGTTGCACTTCGACTTCGTTCTTGTGACGACGTTCCAGGAACAGCTAATTTCGATGGTAAATACCTTTGCTGCCAAGGAGCAGCTTCAACCCTTCCACAATCCCATGGCATTGACCATCTCCTCATTGTACTATCCCCTGTATCACTTCCAACATCCCCAGCAGCTGCTTCAGACCATCTTCGTTGTCCACTAAGTGGAAATAAAGGAAAATGTAGAGGAGATCTTGATCCCCGACTAGGAAATGGCGATTTCATTGTGTGTAATTGTCCCGGATTTGGTAAAGGTCCTCTTATACTTTCAATATGGCCAGCACCTCTAATCATATCTGCAAAAGCACCAATAGGACTTGTTCCCCTTATAGGTTCGTTATATGGTGAAGATCCACGAGGGGGCTCTGGATTTTGACTTAAAGGGCTATGTTGACGGGGATGCTGTTCTGGGGGATGAGGTCTTGGAATTTCTTGACTTTTTGGACTATCTAAAATCCCTTTTTCCGACGTTAAATGGGGACTAGACATCGATGAATGTATGTCAGGGCCTCCTAATTGTGCGAAACATTGTTGTAAAGTTGCCATACTACATTCTGGGTCGTGGACTCCTCCCGCCGTTGTTTGACATGAAGGACACATTGCCATTCCCCCAAGGCATTCACAACCAGCCAATGAGAATTGATATTGTAAATTAATAAATGTAAAAATCGTTTCTGTTATTATTTGTTGATTATGTTCTTGTTGTCTTTGTGCGTCTTCTTCTGTAAACGTTTCTCCTATCATCATATCTTGCATTGCCGCTGCTATATGAGTCTTCACTGTGTGACTAGCAACTATTGTCGATTTAGCCAACTCATCCCAACTTGCAAGACATTGAGATGCGAGTGAAATATTTTGCATTTGAGCTAAGGTTGTAAAAGCTTGAGATAAACGTAAACCAGCTGAACATAAACTATTTAGCATCTAAAACAAAACCACATTTTATACTTAACTCATAAACAACTCAATATAATTAAATATTACTTGTAAATAATAAATCCAACTATTTAAACATTCGGTAGCAGCGACTTTAAGAGCATTAGGACTGGGAGGTTGAGTAGGTTCTTCAAATTTTTTGTCTTTTCCTTCAAAACTGCTTGGTTCAGTATCAGAGATAGTGGCACCTTGAGTGTTTCTAAAAAGGATGTTGAATAAAATTAGAGGTGACTCACAAAAGTAAATGAATTGATTAACATACCGTTCCATTTTGGATTAAAATAAACGCGTTCCGACGGAAATTATTATCACAATAAATAACGAAACATAATACACTTATAATAACTATGTTTAAACCTCACTATTTTACCCTTAAATCGAATGTTACGCTAGGATTTCGATCGTTTGTACTTGGGATACATTATTGCTGCGTTCGGGTAATGCACGTAACAAAGTATGGTCGCGAAATATCACATTTGTCGGAATTTATAAATAGTTAAAATACCTCTAAAAGGTTTTACGTCAATTTGTAAAATTGTTTTGTTTGGCAGGTTAGAGGAAAAAATTACAGTGATGCCAATCTAATCAAACAAGTGTTTCCAAAGGAACTAAAAGATTTAATTTATATTTAAACTAGTCTTTAATAGATGGACCTTTTTCTTTAAATTTATTAAATTAAACTTTTATTTTATGGATTTAAATAATTAATGAAAAAATAACTAATAAAATCTGTATAGTTATGTTATGATAATCGCGCCATCTTTTGTTGTTTATCAGTTGACACTTAAAATAGTTAAATGTCAATCATTTCAACATATTTGTCAAACTTGTGAAATTATTAAGAAAAGTGTATGGACATAGATAAAACTAATATTAATAAGTAATAAGTTAATTAAGCGGTACTAATGGTAATAAACTTTAATTATTATTAAATAAACTTCAAAAAATTACCATGACTTTCAGAAACTAGATACTTTAAAAAAACTTTTCCTCTATTTTGAAGCGCAACTGAATGATTTATATCTGAAATTACAATTAAAATGCTCTGTTTATGACTCTCTTTATGATTCGAATCATGAAATGTGCGCTTTGATAAAAAAAATGTCTGAAAGAAAAATCTTTAAGAGAAAATTGCAAATTTAGGTTATGTGGAACATGTCAGAAAACTAAGAAACTTCAAAAAACACCTTATTTTATTTCTGGACTTTAAGCGATAAAGATTCTATCAAAGAATAAACTTTGAGAACCATAGGGTTTGAAAATTATCAGTAGAAAAAGTTTACCAAAAATTGGTATATGGCAGAAACTAAAAACTTTCCAAATGAATTATTTTCCTATTTAATATATTGCTAATTTTCCCCATGAAAGTCCAAACAGTTATTCAACAGGATTTAATTGTTTGCAATTTCAAATTGGATATTATGGCCAATTAAGTTTTTGTGCTGTAATTTGCTTAGAATCATCCTCATTTAAATGCTTCTTGTACAGCACAAAAACTGTTTCATTAGATTTAGATAGGTAAAGTAACTAATAATCAAATCCTATGTCTCTGAAGATGGCTAATTAGGCAAAACTAATCAGACTTTACAACTTTATCAATAAAATCACTTTTTTTTTAACTTTAAGACACAAACAAGACGCCCGACGTTTTAGAGAACTAATCTTTTCAAGGAATTGGACGACGTAAACCAAAAATTTTTTTATGATTATCAGCCGTTAAAGTTGTGGATATTCTTGTAATATTGGATTATAAAAGTTGAAAAGACATTAAGACAGTAAACAGCCGTGTTTAAAGATCTAGTTATATGTATGTTTTCAAGTATCTGTGTTGTCTTTAGCTCTGTTTGTTTTGGAAACAACTGTTGCTTCAATCGATTAAGTATCTGCCCATATCTGCTTATATAAAGAATCTAAATGGATTGTTTCTACGTGATGTACACTGTTAGATAACCAAGCCGTTTTTTAGTCTATAGAAAGCCGGTTATTTAAATGATTTGCGGTGTTCGTTTAGAAAAAAAAATTCTACAATAACAACCAAAAAAGTTGAGAATCTTTACAAAATGAACTCTTGTTGTTGTAAAGATTGACTTTAATTTTATTGGTAGCTTTTTCCATTGTTGAATTATTCTTGGATCTATCAACAATGGTGTCACCAAACAAGGAAAATGTTTGAGACGGAAATACCTAGCGTGTCCACACTTCATTTAATTTAGTTCCCCGGGGAACCATTTTGTTTATTAATGAGCTATCCTGCTGAAACTAATGCAACCGGATAATGACTCCCTAGAGAATATGAAAGCAGGAACTTAAATTACATAACAATGGAAGAAAGGCGCCTCATGGGAAGTTGACGTATTCAGCCATATTGGACACCATAATATCAATGTTTAGGCAATACGGTCTACGATCGGTATACATATATATAAGACCATAAGGTATTGTCTTTGGCAAACAAGATCAAGTCCTTCCAACAAAATCGTACGGAATTAAGCGGCACTATCTCCCTAAATAAGGACCAAAGATATTTCAGAAGAATCTGGAAAGCCAGGCTAGTATAGGTACTTACACGCCATACAACATGAATTGCAGTGGCTGTTTTTTTGTGGAACTCTATGTGTATGTAAATTATATTTCAAATGACAATAGACATAAAATTTCAAATCTTTAATTTTGTTATTGGTTCACTATCTATTTGCTCATAACCATTAATGATTAGCTTTTGATGTTTTTCATGTACGTAACCATTATTATTGAGCGATTTCCAACTGCCAATTCTACCTGTGTTAATGAACTCATAATGGCGGTGTTCTAATGTGTTATCAGGATACTGATGATACTAGATTAAGAACATATGTGGGACTTCCATAATCATCATTTCTATAATGGAGAATTTATAATTCTATTCCATTCTTGCTAGTATCCAAACACTACAATATGATAGTTTTTTCAGGAGAATAGAATTATGCACGCTATTTGCCTTATAGAGTTCACAACATATTACTTAAGCTTAAGTTAATCAAAGCAACATCAAGAGTTTCAGTCACATCCAACATAACCGTGGCGTAACCATCTAGAATACTTTTGGCTATGTTGCCAGCATAAATATTAAAGAATACAACACTAGTATTGTTTAGTACTTTATCTTTAATATTGGGACCACTTTAGATTATTTCACTTTTTCCTGAAATATTTCCTAATCAAACCCTGGTTTGTCACTTTCAAAAGTTTTTAGTTGACTTTAATAGAAAAACTATATAAAATAAATTAATTTTTGTCTTTAAGCGTTTTATGACGATGGCAATTTCAATTTCAGATGGGATCCAAGAAGCAACTTGCCTGTGCATGGATACCACTTACGTTTGTGAAAAATAGAATGAATAGCAAGTTTTTCCAAATGAAATTGAGAGCTTATATGATAGATGTGGCTCTTTGGAACACCAACAATACTACAAACAAATCTATTGAATAAACTTTTTTATTGGAAAATTTTCAGAGTGAATCCAGTAAGTAAAACATTCTTAATTTTTAATAAGATTATCTTTACTACCTTGTCTTTATCCGTAACAAATCACCCAATATAAAGTACAATTACTAAATTAACACTATTATTAATCGACAATTTATAATTTAATTAATAATTAATTAATTGTGCTTATTACTTCCATCTCTTACTATAAAATTATAATTAAAAAAATATCAATAACAAAGAAGTGAGATTTATCCTCTTCAATCATATTTGAAATCACAAAATAAAATCAAATTAAAATAGAAGTCTTCTTCGTAATAATCATGTCAAATCCTTCCACTCTACTTACTTCCGTTTCAGTTTCTTGAGCAAGTCATCTTGTAACTGATCTAGATGAACTGATCCTTTTACTCGCTGAACGTTCAACTTACTCCTAATAAACCTAATCAGTGTCACAAACTACCGTGAAATATCATGTTCGATTCAAACTAGGAAGCTGTTTGAATCGAGAAAGTCTACCACAATTATTTACAAACTTGTATAGTTACAAGAAACCCACCACATCATTATGAAAATTATACAATAAAAATTGGTTCAAATATTTAGAATTCCACCCAGCCTTTCTTTTATATTTAATTTAAGATTCTAGTTAAGTACGTTATTGTTAATTTTTCTTCAGGTCACGTTAACATCGTACTCTACTGACACATGTCCTCGGGGTTCTTACAACTGTTAGCTCACCCAAGAAACCGTTACGAAGATTCTTCGACGAAGTGACTTTGAAGACAACGCGTCTGGGGAACTCTGCTTCTTGGTAAACCTTGAATCGGAGTCAATTCGTAACGAATTTAGACGGCGGCGCGGCGCCGTATGACGTCATGCGGTGAGCCACCAACAGGTGAGTTCTCTTCCACATCCAAAGACGTTTTTGACGCCCCGCCAAAAGAGACGGCGGTGGCAGAGCCAAAATCGCATACAACTTTCATTCCGCCACAATCCGTGGTCGCGTACAATCGTTCCTCCGGCTCGTTCTCGTTGCGCGTCGTTTTTGAGTGTTTTCCAGGAGGAAGATACCAAAACGGTCGGTTTTGATGTTATGGCACGCGAAATACCAGCAGGTGAATGAGGTTGATGTGTGCGTGTGTTCCGGTAGAGTTTCAATTTAGAAAGTGAGTAGATACATTTGAAGACAATTTTATTTGGTGTGTTATTCGAAAAACGAAATATGTGGTCGGCGAAGTGTTGCGATTTTTGCGGGTTATACCGTGGAGTTTTCGCAATTTTGATATCTTTTGTGATGGTGGTTGGGTTTAATTTGGATGTGGTTCAAGGAGATGGTAAGACAAATAAAATCTTTTTATACCTTTAATAAATTTATTTGTGATTATTACAATATTATGCGTATTGATAAGATTTAAAGCAAGTGTTTTTTTTTGTTGGTTATCTGATGTGGTAGGTTACTTTCAAATTAGAAGTGAAGGTTACTGGTTGACATTGTCTTGAGAATTACCAGGCAAAATATCGTTCACATTACCTTCACGAAAGAGAATGAAACGGTTTTTTTATTACTTTATTATTCTTGCTATTGCTCGACTATTTTTAAACAACGTAATAAGAAGAGAAATATAGGTTTTGAGATACAAGATATTTAATGTTGTGTTGTTAGATCAATGACGACAATTTTAGATTTAAATTTAAATTATCGTTCCAATAATATCATAATGACACATCATAATGTTTTAAGATCTGGAATAATACACCATTATAATGAGACAAGATACAGACTACATCCTGTATGCATCGTGAATAATTTGTACGTGAAACATTCCAGTCTAAAATCTAAACGCTTGTTCACCTACACGGCAACCCACGTGGGATTTTTAGAATCTCAGGTCTTTACACTACAGAGTGACGATTGTCTCAAAAGGTCACTGTTAAATAACAAAGTGTACACATACGTACAATTTTCTCCATAGCACATATCTTTTTATTTCTTGAGGTTGCTTAGAAACTTTGTTTTCTCTCAATAAATCGTTACTCAAACCAAGGTGAAGTCCTACAAGAAGAGTTACTTTTAAGGTTTTTGAAGATAAAGTTTCAAAATATCGAATTTCTTATAATCAATTTTTAAAACAATATAAATTCTCTTCCTGAATTTATTTTAAATTAATAAAGATTATGTGGACTATATCAATGTTGAAATAAATTCACAACCACAAGGTTATTACCCTACCTGCGCCTTATTTGATGGCGACCCGTTTATGGAAGTATGAAATTACAGCTCCGCATTTAAGTATATTGAATGATCTCATTTAATACATTGATGATTCACTTCTTCAAGTAATAACAATAAGTTAATAAATAATTTTATAGACAGATGTGATAGGTAAAGGAACTAAATGGTACACAATTTCCCATACTGTTCTTCTATTAACCGAAAATGTGCCATAAAATATCATTTTAATTAAGAATCCTGTTAAGCTATAAACAGAAAAACCTGATGAAATCTGGAAATTATCTAGATTTAATTGAGCTTTTAATGTTTTTTATAAGATAAACTATTTTGTTGCTAAATAGCTACAACATATGTAAACATGCCTAAGAACACCACATATTCCTATTTAACACAATTTGTAGGTGTAAAGCTTTTGTATTGTTAAATTTGGACCTCATATTTGGATCTGCAACTTCTAGAAGATGTGTAATTCTTACACTTTTCACATATTATCCATCAAAAGTGACGTATTCATGATTTGTTCCGCATTCAACTTTCTTCAAGTTTGGCAAGCTTCATCAGAGAACTCCTAAGACCGATTATTTGTGTTATATTAAATCAAAAATTAGTTTAATCGAATTCTAATCGATGATTAAGATGGTGTTAATTGATTGCTACGCTATAAGTAGTAGGTACTCATTAAGTTGACTCTCAATTTTATAAAGCTCGATTATCGTTACGTTAATCCACTGCGTAGTTTATCCTGGTCTATCTATAAGCCCTATATTTTCTATTATTGCTAGATCATTGGTATAGGCCACTGACTTTACTTACTCTATATTTTGTTAGTCTCAGTTGGTCGAATAGAACATTACATAGAATTCTTTGTGCAAGACATTTGAATGCAAGACATATCTTGCATTCAAGTAGCGTTTGATAATGTTCATTGACATTTATTTTCATTATAAGGCTTCGATGGGATTATCTAAAGTGATCTGCACACATTTCCTTTATTTGTCATGTCTAAAACTATATAAGTCACGTCCGTCGAAGTTTCTTTTCGTCACAATTTAATAGGTGCAGGTTGGCATTTATTTGCTTCACCTTGCTTTTCCATTAGCATCAATCTCCAGTTTTCAAGATCTTTGGGAAATGAATGGTCTTTATTAGCATATTATACATATCTATGATCCGACTTCTTGCATTATGCGAATCTATGGCATAAGCTTATTCAGTCCAGAAAATTTTTCTTTTAGTAATATCTTAATCTTCTGATTTATTATTACTGCGTACAGTTTCCTCCAAATGCTTTTTTGCAACTTGTCGCACAGTTTTAACCAAGCTTTTCTTTTCGTATTGTTAATTTCAGCTTAGCAGAGTTTTTTTTTACCTTAGTTCTTGAGCATAAAAATACGTCAATTTACTATGTCAACTTACTCTCTCGCTTCACCTGTATAGGTATCCCTTTCTTGGTTATAATTTCTTTTCGTTGAGTGCGGTTCGTGTTGGTTCATTGATTTTATCTTCATATCTGCCAACACGTTTCTCTTATCTCTTCAACCTTCCATCCTTATTATTTCTTTCTGTCATTTCCGCTTCTATATTAAAAACAAAATTAAGTTGATCATTTATGGGGTTGCTTAAAATGAGGTTGTGCAGAAAATTATACTTCATAGAAAGATTCTGAAAGATCTCAGATTTCTTTCCCTGGGTCCCAACTTCAGCGTACCGGTTACATTGGATTCATCTCTCATTCCTCAACCTCTTTGTGACGTGGAATCCATTTTCAGATTTATCCGCCGGGTAGCTTAGAACTCAAGGAGGGTCAGAGCCACGAATCCCATTATCAATCATGTTAAAAGAAAGATGAATGCTCTCCCCATGGCTGGTCTTATCTATCGTCTCCAAACAGAAGCGGGGATTTTCCTGAAGAAAAACAGACCGGACCCTCTCGTTGTTGTCCCTGCAGATAACGGTCAAGTTACTGTGGTCCTTAACCAGTTCCAATATGTTGACAAGTCCTTGGCAGTGCTGAATAACTCCATCCAGAGGAAACAAAATAAGTTTTGTAAAGAATTACTAGACCAGGAATACATCTCCAGACAGGTTTACAGGTCTCTGGTGTGTCATAATGGCACCCAAGTTTTATGGCCTCCCTAAGATCCATTACGAAGGATCACCTCTTACGATTAGACCGATAATTTCTTTTATTGGGTCTCCTACTTACTGGTTCCTACTCAAGTTAATTAATTAAATTTATGTGAAAAATATTCCTTTGTGCAACAATTTACACAACTTCTTACTTCCTTATTATAGTTTCGAACTATACAGCCCATCATCAGCAAAATTTACGAGTATTCTATTTCTTATAAACCTTAATCGATGATAATAAATAATGTCCTTGACATTATCTACAACTAAATATCCAATTTAGTTAAACATCAAAACAGCTAAAGTTTAAAACAATTTGTTGTTTAAATTTTTTTACTTCTTATTCAAATGACATTGAAACTAACCATTTTTTTCCTTATAAATAATTTATATTTTTCGTCATTTTTAATTCTAACATCCTGTGTAAATAAGTAGATTCAAATCTAAATCTATTGTAACCTTCGTTACTTATCTCAAAAATACTATACAATAAGGAGAGAAAGCTACAAATGTAAATTCAGTTTTCATAAAGACTCGTAAATCGTTTTAAAACGTATTCAATATGTTTAGACTTGACCGGTTGGACGTATTTATTTGAATCATTATCCATTTGAACGCAAAGCACGTATTTATTAATGTTTAATGTTAAACCATCCATTGTCCCTTTAAAGTAAACGAATAAAGTTGTTATAACACAAGTCTTTCTAAATTGTGTCATTAGATCGGATTGTTAGATAAGGTTTAAAATTTATTCCAATTTAAATTCTTCTGTTCTATTTAGCAATTAAAACGACAAAAAGTTAGAAAAGCGTATCTAACGTTTTTAGCATTTTAGAGTGGCTTGGTTTGAGCATTATGTAAAATGCTCATTGTGTTCCACATTGTTCGAGCAGCGGGTAGAAAGTACGACCACAAAATGGCTTTATCTATCTAGGAAATTTATTTTATACGTGTCAATTCGACCAGATTCATATCGTTAAGATACTATAATGTTCGTATTGTGCGCTGTTGTGTCAAATTCAAACAACAAACAAAAATGATCCAGATTTTATTCAATGTTATCTAAAGATATAATTATAACGTGAAGTAATTAACACGTATGTTTCAAGAAGGAAATTTATCGACAAGACAAAGTTGATGGCATAACTTAATTGTACATTGTTTACTTTGTTACTGTTATTACGTAATTTGTCCTTATTTTTATTAAAAGTCTTTAATTTCCTGGCTTTATAAGGAATCAAGAAATTGAGTAAAAAAAGTCGTTGAACTTTCGAAAACTTTTTTACCTTCGAGTTAATATTGGTTTAACTGTTTTTGAGAGTGTTTAATGTATTTAGTGAAATAACGTTAAATGATTCTTAAACACAAAAAAATTATTGATGTGTAAAAATAAACCAGATCAATCTGATGAATAAATAAATAACTTGACACAATTGTTAAGCAATAAAGAATATGGTAAATATCAAGGTTAAGTATCGGAATACGTAAGTGGTCGTGTATAACTGTACACGAATACTCGTGAGTGAGATTATCCAAAGGCCGACATAGATATTGTTTCAGATCCACTCATGAAACGTATCTGCCGAGCTCATTTACCACGATTCGCTGACTTTTCAAGCGATGAAAAAGAATTTAAGTCAATTACACAAAAATACAATGGAATTGTTTTTGATCGCGTGGTTTCTCACATATTTTCTCCCGTTAATTCTGCGCCGCACAAAAATAATGTTAAAAAAACCTGTTTATGTGCTGAAGAGGATGAAACTAATTAAATCCGTTTCCTGTAAAAATGTTGTTTTGTTTACGTGAAGTGTGAAAATTGAGCTCACAAAAACGCAGACTGGCGTCGAAATTATACCTCCTAATTGTTTGAACTATGCTTTCACCACTTTCTCTATTTGCGAAACGATGCAATACTGAGGAGTGTGTTCGGAATTTATAACTCTGGTAAAGTTGCAGTTTTAAATGACA